TCCTGGGGTGGGGTGAGGCCCCAGGGGTGTGGCCACAGAGCTGAAGCAGGTGACTCCTAGCAGGTGGCTGAAGGGCCAGCAGGAGGACAAACAGGACACAGATGTCCACTACCACTCCCTCACTGGTGAAGGCAACTTCAACTGGCGTTACCTGTTTCCCTTCGACTACCTGGCTGCTGAAGAGAAGATCGTTATGTCTAAGAAGGAGTCTATGTTCTCCTGGGATGAGACAGAGTACAAGATCCCTGCACGGCTCACCCTGCAGATCTGGGATGCTGACCACTTCTCTGCTGACGACTTCCTGGGTGCAGAGCAGAGCGAGGCCTAGGGCCCAAAACTGAGGGGCAGGGGTGGGCAGGCTGAGTCCATGGGGCGGGGGGCCTAGTCTTCAAAGCCTCTCTAAGATTCTGCCCAGTTACTTCTCAGGGAGCTCTGGACACACAAGGAAGGCAGGGTCAATGCTGATGAAGCCAGCAATGCTCCCTAAGGAGACAGATTTTCCTGGGTCTCAGGTTGCACCAAACTATCTGCATCTGCAAGCCTGAGTTTGGTACAGCATTGTCAGTAGACACACAACAGCCAGGATGAAGGCAGCAAATGCCTAGAGATACTCTAAGCCAAGAAAGGATCCCAGTAAGACAGAGTAGGGGTGGAAAGGGAGGAGGCAGTATGGTCCCCACCCACCTGAAACTGACTCTGATGTTGCCACAGGGGCCATCGAGCTGGACCTGAACCGGTTCCCAAGGGGTGCTAAGACAGCCAAGCAGTGCACCATGGAGATGGCCACTGGGGAGTTGGACGTGCCCCTGGTTTCCATCTTTAAACAGAAGCGCGTCAAAGGCTGGTGGCCCCTGCTGGCCCGCAATGAGAATGATGAGTTTGAGCTCACGGTGGGCACCGCTTCCTACTTGGGAGTGGACCTACATGGGCCAGTCTGGGCCAGACTGGGATACTGAGGGCCTAGCACCATGGCCTACACAGTGGAACTCTTCTGTCCTTTCCTTCAGGGCAAAGTGGAGGCAGAGCTACACTTACTAACAGCAGAGGAGGCAGAGAAGAATCCAGTGGGCCTGGCCCGCAATGAACCTGACCCTCTAGAAAAACCCAAGTGAGTGTCCTGCCTGCCTAGACCCAGAGACACACTACATCACAAGGGAGAGAAAAGAGAGTCCAGACCCTTCTAGTGTTGCCCTGACTCCCCAGGAACCACCTTGTCCCCTCCTGGGTCACAGCCACATCACCCCTTCCTTCAACCCTGAACCCTACCTCCTCCCCCTGAACAGGAAGAGCTAGCTGCAAAAGAAAGCTGTTCCTTTCCCAGGAAGCTTCTCCCCAACACCACCCCCCACCTCCAGTCTGGTAGCAATACCGGTTCCCCCTAGTTTTTGACAAGGGCAAGCACACTCCAATGGTGGCCAGACTTGGTGGGCCAATAGGTGTCAGAAACGCTACTGCTTGGTGCAGGTGGGCCTCCTCGTCAGTGGAGGCCTCTTGCCAAGCCTGTTCCTGCCCCACACACCTATCCCCCACCCCTGTCCTCTCTCTATGCGCCTCTGCTCTTCCCAATTCTCCAGTCGGCCCGACACGAGCTTCATCTGGTTCTTGAACCCTCTCAAGTCTGCCCGCTACTTCCTGTGGCACACCTATCGCTGGCTGCTCCTCAAGCTCCTTCTACTCGTCCTCCTGTTGCTGCTGCTCGCCCTGTTTCTCTACTCTCTGCCTGGCTACCTAGCCAAGAAGATCCTGGGGGCCTGAGCCCTGCGCTTCCTGTGCCCAGTACTTCTCCCTTCTGTCTCTGGACAAGGGCTGGTCAACATGTGGGACACACCCAAAAAACACACAGACACTCGGACAAGTTCATATGTGTACACACAGTCTATACATACAGAAGCACACACATGCATATAAACATACACAAACACACGCATGTGTGTACATCCACATAAGCATGCATTGTAACTTTCAAGCTTTCAAAACCTAATCTTATTCTCAGAACCAGAAATGGCTACTTTATATTTTTATATTATTGGGCCCAAGGGTGTAAATAGCTTGACCAAGGTCACCTGGCTGGTAGCACTAGGTCTCCTGCCTAGGTGCCAAATTGCCAGTCCAGTGTCCACCATCTACTGCAGCATTGTCCCCAGACTCTACTCCAGTTCCCAGGGCAAGAGAAAGCTGAGACATGGGCAGGGCCATACAGGAGCAGGGTTTGGCTAGGGTTAGCCAGCTTGTTCTGTAAGTTCCTCCTTGTGTAAGGGGCCTCCCTGGGCACAGCTGGTTCCTGTGCCCAGGACAGTTGTCCCACCAAGGAAAGCATTCAAGTTGACATTAGCTGAATACCATGTCCCTGCAGATTCTGAGATTCGCCAGCACTTTCCCACTTTGCTGGTTCCCTAAGTCCAGGAAGTGGGAATACCTATTAAAACCATCGTATTGTGAATGAAGAAACTGAGGCTCACTAGTCTGACTTTCCCACAACAGCTAGGACTAGAGCTGTAGGCACCCTGGACCCACATCCCTGCCCTGTTGCCCCACTTACAATGGGGTAGGGTCTACATCCTTTGAGAGATGAGCCAACTGTTTGAAAATGTTATGTCCAGAACCTGTGAAGAAGGCTCAATGGTTCAGGGTTTGCTATATCCCCAGCGCTCACATAAAAAGCTAGGGGACAGCTATAACTAGGCCCATAACCCCCACTGCTCGGGGCAAACTCAGGAGGATTTCTGGGGCTTGTTGGCTGCCAGACTAGCCCAAATTCAGAGAAAGAGAGGGACACTTGCTTAAGGAGAGTGATACAGCAGGACCCCATGTCCTCCTCTGACCTCAATATATGTACACAGGTGTGCCCATTGATGTGGGCGATCGCATGCGCACACGCACACACACGCACACACACACACACACACGCACACGCACGCGCACACACACGCGCACGCGCACGCGCACACGCACGCACACGCACACGCACACACACACACACACACACCTATATCCGACACTTTGATTTTATATTGTGATATTTTATGGCTCCTGCAGACAGTAGAGGTTAACAAACAGACCTTAGCAAGGAAGCTCCGTAGAAGGCAGGGCATGTTAGCACCCTGATGGTGGGCAAGCTTCGGGAGAGGATGAGCTGCTTGGATGCTTGCTATGGATATTATCTGTGGGCTTGTCAGAAAGGGTGAGTTTGAGGGCTAGAGATGTAGCTCAGTTGATGGATTGCTTGCCTAGCAGGCATAAAGCCTTGGGTTCAACGTCTAGCGCTACATAAACCATGGGTAGTGATGCAGGCCTGTACCTCAGCCTTCAGGCAGGCATGGTAAGTCAAAAGTCACCCGTGGCTACATAGTGAGTACAAGGCCAGCCTAGGATGATTGAGACCTTGTCCCAAAAAAGAGAGTGAGGGAGAGAGGGAGGGAGGGAGATAAGTAGGTAGTTGAGCAATTCGGATTTCCTAGGAATATGGGCAGACAGGAGCCCCAAGAACAACATGCTTGGCCTGCAATGCCATGGCCTCTGCTTCAGATCATGACTGCAAGCCATCAGACTGAGTCTGCATGGCAGATCTGGGGCAGTCGAGGCCTCACAGAGAGGCCTTAGCTTAGAAGCTAGCCACGATCTGATATTAGATAAGGGCTCCACCCTGGCTCTAGCACTCACGGCCTGCAGAAGAGACAGGAGCCCTGTGTGGGTGGCTCCTGCCTGCTGACAGGCCCCTGCCATCTTCTCCCCACCTTAGCCGGCCTGACACAGCCTTCGTCTGGTTCCTGAACCCACTCAAGTCTATCAAGTACCTCATCTGCACCCGGTACAAGTGGCTCATCATCAAGATTGTGCTGGCGCTGCTGGGGCTGCTCATGCTGGCCCTCTTCCTCTACAGCCTCCCAGGCTACATGGTCAAGAAGCTCCTAGGGGCATGAAGTGTCCCCCCACCCCGCCCTGCCCAGTGTCCCTCCAGCGGCCGCTGTCTTTGCCTTCCCTCACCTGAACTCTTTCCCAACTCCCTGAGGAGCCCTACCTACCACCCCTGCTAGCCTTGAGCAAGACACCTGCTTGCTGGGCTGTTATCTCCACCCCACACCCAAACTGTCACTTGCCTGGTCTTGTCCAGTTTTGCCTTGGATTTAAAGCATCGTTGGAATTGGTGGCATCCAAAAGCAGATACCCTCTTGCCCTACATTCTGTGACGTCACACTCATCAGCCCAGCTCCCAGAGTGGCAGGGACCCAACCCTCCCTTGGGCATTTCAAATCTTGGGTTAAAGCAGCAATGAAATTAACCAAGAAACATGGATGGGGCAGTGATCAAAGCTTTGATAAGTAGGAATGAGTGGAAAGCACCAGAAATGCCAGCAGAAGCACAACACACCAGGGCAACCTGGACAAGGCCACAGTAGCCAGCCACTCCTGTGCATGCTCTTCTCTTGGCTCCTCCTCCTTCCCACAGCACCCTGTGCAGCCGCTTAGCCTGAGGCTTCACATCACTTCCCCTGCCCAGGTCTATGTGTGCCAGACAGTACACAAGCTTCAAGAGTGAGCCCACTGCCCTAGTTGTCCTGCAGGCAACCCTGTCAAGCTTGATGGCAGCCACAGCCGGGATTCTACACTATGAGTGCTGCCCTTCTGTCTCCATGAGTCTGCTGGTTGCTTTTCCTTTCTTGAGTGTGATTTTTCTCTTAATAAAATAAATCAAACCCTGAGATCAAACTGGAGCACGGGGAGGATGGGTCTGTGGGGGGATGGTAAAATCTTATGGAGCAGCATTTGGTTTGCTGCCAGTCCAGGCTGCTGATGCAAGAGCCTACCTCCAGAGGGCACACCATGGTGGACCCAGAGGCCCCCAAGTATGGAAAATGTTCTTTGTTCTTCAACTTGGGGATAATCTGAAGGCATATAGCTCCAAAGCCCCAGCTCCCACCCATAGGAACCAGCATTTTTCCAAGAGCAGAAAGGGTGCTAGTCTCACCGCATCTAGACTGGCCTCTTTAAAGGCACTCAGCCTATCTTTCAAAGACTTTATTAGAACTGTGGGGACCATCGCTGCCTTATTTTGGCAGACAGACACAGTTCTGGAAAACCCAGAGTGGGCCCAGGCTCTCCGCTGAGCGGTGCGGACTCTGACACCAAGCCTTGTAGATACATCTCTATTTTGTGGGCATCCGGAAGCTTTGGGTTGGAGGAATCTGAAGTTCTGAATTGACCTGCAAATTAGAAGGTAAAGGTCATTTTCTTGCCTTCTGGGAGGGCTCAAGTGCAGGTGCTGGTTCTCCCACAGCTCCAACCCCTGCAAGCATTGCTTCTCCAAGGCAGGCCTTGGGTCCTGGAGGATACCAGGGCTTCCCCCCACCCACCCACCTCCATAAGTCCCTCCCTCTCTGGAAGCTGGAAGCTACTTCTGGACTTGGTACTGATTTTTTTAAAAGAATATTTATGTCCAGACATGGTGGAACACGCCATTGGAAGGCAGAGGTAGCTGGACCTGGGTGAGTTTGAGGCCAGCCTAGACTACAGAGTGCATTCCAGGACAGCCAGGACTGACTACATAGAGAGATATATCTGAGCCCGTGAGATGGCTCAGCAGGAAAGGTGCTTGCTGCCAAGCCTGACTTCCTAGTCCTATCCCTGGGACCCACATGGTAGAAGGAGAAAATTGACTCCCAAAAGCTGTCCTCTGATCTCCACATGTGAGCCATGGCTTGTACACACGTACACACATACACATATACACACACACACAGAGTAAAAATAATAATAATAATAAGACTGATTCTACTCTTGGGAGGCTGAGGTTGTATTGAGCAGGTATATATAGCTCAGTTTGTAGGCTGCCTGCCCAACATGCACAAAAGCTTTAGGCTTGATCCCCAGCCCCACATACTCAGGGTGTGGTGGCTATAATCCCAACTCCCCATGGTGAAAGCAGGATATCTGAACTGCAGGGTCATCCTTGGCCAGGCTCCATATGGAATTTGAAGCCAGCCCAGGCTACTTGACACATTGCCTCAAAAAATTAAAACAAAATAAAGACAAAAAAAAAAGAGTGATCACACAGTGATACCAAAGCCATGACATCAAGGGGACAGAGTTTCAGTCTTTCTGGCTTCTGGCCTAGACGGCACTACAGGCAATACCCATGGCCTTGCCAGCAACTGTCTCCTCCGTGGGTATGGTTTTTTATCTTACTCTGGCCCCATGTTCCGCCACCCACCTTGGCATGGAGGTACTGCTGTAGCAAGGACTGCATCTCGGCATTCTGCTGCTCCAAAGAGTCATTCTCCATCAGCAGCTTGGCCCTCTGGGTCAGCACGAGGCTAGAGTGGGGCAGAGGAAGCAGGTTAGACAGAAGCCAGCTCAGTCTTCTGTCCTCCGCTGATTAGAAGACAGGCGCTTAGCATTTCTGCTCTGCCTGCAAGTAGAGGAAGGACTGGGGCATTTCCTTTTCTCCCAGGCTAGCAGGGTCAGACTAGGAGGGTGGGACTAGAGCGGCAGTCACCCACCACCTCAAATTGTGTGCACAGGAAACACAACTGACCCCAGACAGGACATATAAACCCCCTCAGCTCCCTGCCCTTCCAAGTCCCGACACTGACTAATATTTCTCCAAGGCCTTGTACAGCGCGTCCCAGAGGTTCTGCTTGGAGGGAGGGATAACCATGGCCAGGGATGCCCAATACTCGGTGTCCTTTGAATTATCTCGAATATCTTTCTTCACTCTCAGTACTGGCCGCATGTCCCTGAAAGTCAAAACCAGTGGTGCCACCATTGCCACCCAACACCCTAGTTCCCAAAGCAGTGCCAGTCATGGTGCTGAAGCCAGTCATATACTTGCAGATGTTTAAAAAAAAAAATCGTGTGTGTGTGTGTGTGTGTGTGTGTGTGTGTGTGTGTATGCACGCATGCGATCACCCACATCAATGGGCGTTTGTATGTACGGCCCCTTTTCTACTCAATTGCCACTGATTGCCTCCCAGCCTCCCCATCCCTGGGTCTTAGGCAATCCCTGCATTACCACTGCACCACTGCATACTTGGATTTATTCAGCCCCATGACAAAGGCCTCCAGAATCTTGAGGACGTCATTGGGGTGGATGAGCATTGGAGAAGATAGGCCCTCATCTCTCAACTCCTTGTCCACAAGGCTCTCCTTGTCGCCTCCCTGCAGGGCCTCCTGCTCTATGGACTCCACCTCCGATTTAGACACCACGCTCCTCCTATCCACCTGGGACAGCAAGCTCAGACGATCTATCGCTGACAGCAGGCTTGTGCGCTCTGTGTGAATGGAGGTGCTGTACTGGAGAGAGGGTGCCTGGGTGACTGGGCTGGTGATGCCCAACACGTGACAAGAAAATACCCAACATGTGACAAGAAACAGGAGAAGAAGAAATCAAAGGAAGCTTCCAGAAAACTTTCAGATGCACACGTTTCCATAAAGATAGAAGGCAGGTGAGTAAGGGGGTGCACAGGGCCCTGAAATGATTGGGAGCTGAAATTCTGCTCTAAATCCAGTTCACAGGTGTTCACTGTATTGATAATCATGTGCTATAAATACCCTCGGACTCATAATGCAGAATCAACCCTGGTATAATTTTTGAAGTTAACTAGTCTTTCTCCAACTGTCTCCCAATCCCAAGCCATTGTTTACCACCCACAGGCAAGTTGATATTAGCTTGCTTCCTATGCAGCAAGTGTGTCGGGGGAGGGGAGGATGAATAAAAGCTGTTTTTGAAACAAGATCTTGTTATAGAGCTCAGGCTGGCTTCAAACTCGTGATCCCCCTGCCTCAGCTGGGATTCCAAGTGTACACCACGACACACAGAAAAAACAAAACACAAAACAAAACAAAGTGTGTCTCTGATCAAATACATACATACATACTTTTCCTCCCTGTTTTTATTTACATTTACTGATGTGTGGGGATCAGAAAACAACTTGTGGGAGTCTTCTGTCTTCATTCACCTTTCGGGTCTGAGACCCAGTTCAGGCTGCCAGGCTTAGTGGCATGTGCCTCTAACTACAGAGCCATAGTTCTGGCTTCTTTGCTGTTTTTATATACATATTTGTGCATATTCTGTACTTTGCTTCTTTCACAGAACAATTAACCATATAGATTTTTCATATACACTTTCTTGGTCTTTGTTTTTTATTTGAGTAGTGCCCCATTGAGTGCACCATGAATTATTAAATACATTCCTTAAGCATGAAAGTCTTCTGTTTCAAATAATGTTACAATTTAAAAAAAAACTATAATATAGGGGCTGGAGAGATGGCTCAGTGGCTAAGAGCACTGGCTTCTCTTCCAGAGGAGCAGGGTTCAATTCCCAGCACCCACATGGCAGCTTATAACTGCCTGAAACTCCAGTTTCAGGGGATCTGATACCTTCACACAGACATACATACAAATGACACACAAATGCACATGAAATAACTTATTTTTTAAAAAACTATAATATACATATAATTTCAACTGTATTAAGAAGACTATTCAGGAGTATGCCTTGATCTCACCACTGGAATAGTAGAGGAAGGAGAGTTAAAAGTTCAAGGTTATCCTCTGCTACACAGAGCTTGAGACCAGCCTAGGCTATATAAGCCCATCTTTTAAAGAAAGAAAGTCAAATGTATTTAGAAAGTCAAATGTATATAGAACAAAATCCTAGGAGGATTGTGAAGTATATATAGTCACTGATGCTGTCAAATTGTCCTCACAGCAGGTGACAGCCATTACACTCCCACCAGGTTTTGAGTGTGTCACAAGCTCGCAGAGCTTACATGCTAGCAGACAGTCAAGCTCTACTGCTGACCCGCCGGGCAGAAAGGAGTTGTGCAGGTCTCACTGTGCTGCTTCCCTTCTTACAGGGAAAGCTGGTAGCATGTGCAACGTTGCCTGTCCTAGTCCAGGTGTGGTGATGCACACTTGCCATCCCAGACCTAAAGTGATCAAAGAGGACAGCTGCAAGAGTCTGAGGGCCACCTGAGCTATATAGTGAGCCTGTCCCACTCCTCTGAAACGTTGGTCTTTTCTCCTAATTGGTTTATGTGAGCTCTTTATATAGTAGCTAACCCTTAACTGTGATATTAATTGAAGCTACTCTTCCTCAATGTCATGGGTGCTTTAAGGTCTTCCGGCTTCCTCCTCCCATGTACTGAGATTATAACCTACATCACTCTGCACTGTTCATGTAATGCTATGGGTCAAACCCGGGGCCTCATGCAGACTAGGCAAGTACCTTCCACATAAGCTACATTCCCCAGCCCTTGGACACTCTCTTTCTGAAGGATGTCAGGAAGCTCACCCTGGTGCTAACAACACTAAAAACATTTTTTTAATTAAAATCTTGTAACCTTTAATGTGACTCTCCAGAGTAACTGCCCTTTGAAGTTCGTATTGGAATTATTTACAACATAATATTCACAGTGTTACAAAGGAGTCCCACTTCATAGGAGGGGGTGATGGATCAAATATGCAGAGTGTGATGCAGCCAGATCTCACAGTGGTTAGAACCTGGTTTTGAAGAAATCCCAGGAAAAGGGCCCTTGGGCCACAATGTAGAGCAACATCCCATCCCTCCCCCAGGCATTATGCTTTTTGCAAATAGAAAAAATAATAACTAAGCCAATGCTATTAGCCATTCCCAGCATAGACACCCCCAACTCCTCCCAGACCCAGAGCCAGTTCTCACTCTACCATATTCCCCAGATAGCTACAAGAGAAGAAGACATGATGGAGAGATGTGGCGAGTCAGACGAAGGGCACATGTCACAGACAGGGGCAGAGGGAAAAGGTAGGCAGGACCCCATGGGGCAGCTAAACCTCTGGAGACATGAACACTCTCCCAAGCTGCACCCTTTCCCACCTGGGCAGAGGATAAACGATGGGATCGGTATCGAAGGAAGAAGTTCACCAGCTTGTACAGGTCATCCTCACTTTCAATTCCCAGGGCCTGAGGAGGAAACAGGATGGCCACTCAGATGCCTCATACGCAGGCCATGAACGTGGGATGCTCATAGACCCTCAGCTCATTTGAACCGGTATCCCTGGGGCCCGAATAAAGGGTCCAGGGCGAGAGCCAGGACAATGCAGTGAAGTGGAGCCAACACTGGAACAAATCCCGGGGGCGGGGGGAGAGGGGGCTCCACACATCATGACAATGATGGGGTAGGGGGGCTCCACACATCATGACAATGATGGGGTGGGAGAGGGGGCTCCACACATCATGACAATGATGGGGGAGAGGGGGCTCCACACATCATGACAATGATGGGGGATGGGGGGGCTCCACACATCATGACAATGATGGTGGTAGGGGGGGCTCCACACATCATGACAATGATGGGGGATGGGGCTCCACACATCATGGCAATGATGGGGGATGGGGGGGCTCCACACATCATGACACCAAAGCCGGTCTGAAGTTGAAGGAAGACAGTGATAGTGAGCCCAGAAAGGCCTGGGGAGACTCTGGCGCAGTCTCAGGGTTGGGTTGAGGATGTTGAGAAAACAGGTTCTGTCCTCCACCCCACGTCTTCTCTGCCCAGTGGGACTCACAGAGAAGATGGCATCCAACCTCAGCAGATAGCATTCACTCTTCTCCAGGGGGAGGAGCAGGCTCAGCAGTTTGCTCTCTATGAGGAAACCCTGAGGAGAAAAGGAAGATGGCATCCCCAGTCAGAGCCAGGTCTAGGGTCTGCAGCCACCCACATTGTGACTCTCCAAGGACAATGCCACAGAGTAGAACCTCTAACCGTGGGATCCTCAGGGAAGGCCATCTGGGGTACCTAAGCCAGTCTCAGCATGCAAGGACAAAGCTAGTTCCCGTCTTGGGTTTAGACTACCCTCCACCTCACCCACACGCCACTGGGCGAACAGCAATTTAAACAAAACTACCCCTTGGTGCCTGCCTCACCCATTTTCCTCCAAATCAACAGAACCCAGAAGCAAGCACTGAAATGAGAACAGGGTATGGAGGAGGAATGGGCCTCGTGGGAACACACTGTGAGTTACACAGATGGGGTGTAAGGAGAGGCCAAGTGCTACACTGAGTGAGGAGGTCATGCTATACAGCTGCATGTGACAGAGGGGACCTGCCTGCTGACTCCTTCAGCAGGAATGGCTTCAATGGCACCAAAGAAAACTGCCCTGATTGCCCCAGGACCACCTAGCTGGGGCTGAGTCAGCTCCACCATGTCTTTACCCCAAGCCCAATCCTTAAATATTTTAGACCTGATGCACCTGGAGAACAGCAGCCAGGGGTGGGACAGTGGAAGGGAAAAGGCTATTGCCAACCAGCATGGCTCTGATTGGCCCCCTGTGGGCATAGCCATTGCCAGCCAGGCTTCTCAAAGCAAGGCCTTTTGAAGTCACTCCCCAGGTCCCTCTCTGCAGGTCTGCCTCTCCTGGCTCCAGACCCCATGGACTCAGAGGCCTTACCGACTCGTCACACAGGAGCATCAAGATCTTTTTGGTAGTTTTTGCTGAAACTTGTTTGGGTAGGTCCATGTAAGAATCGTCTTCAGAAGCCTCTTCTGTTTCCCCTTCTGCAAGTGGGTCAGAGAAAGGAAGGCAGGGAGAGGACAGCGTCTTGGCTTGTGGACTTTGAGAGCAGCTGAGTGGCTTTCCCTAAGAAAATGGGTCTCTTACTGCTTCTCTGTGGCCAAACACATCTGAGTGCTGAAAAAGAATCCTATAATGTAGGCACTAGACTTAGGGATAGATCGTGATTTCAAAAGGCACGCCACACAGACAGAAGTGGCCAGTTAAAAAGACAAAATGGCTTCCACACAGAGGAACACTGTCAGCAAGAGCTGACAGCTAACAGCGGGAGCCAAAAGGACTTGAGTTCAGTTCCCCAGGCACCCACACCATCTACAACCACCTGTAACTCCAGCTCAAAAAGATCCAACATCACCTTCTGGCTTCCTAAGGCATATACATGTAGCATACACTCACATAATTTTTTGTAATCAAAGGAGGAAAACACACACCAAAAATAAAAAAAAGGGACTATAATTTAATAAAAATCATGGTATAACAGCTGGTAAATGGCTCAATGAGTAAAGGTGTTTGCCATTAAACTTGATAATCTAAACTTGATGACTAAAATCTACATGATAGATGGAGAGAACCAATTCCTCCCAGATGTCCTCTGACCCACAAGTGTGGGTCAGACACACACAATTTTTTTTTTTTTTGGTTTTTCGAAATAAGGTATAATGCCCTTGGCTGTCCTGGAACTTGCTCTGTAGACCAGGCTGGCCTTGAATTCACAGAGATCTGCCTGCTTCTGCTCCTGAGTCTGGGATTAAAAGCATGCACCAACACACCTGGCTATAAATAAATTTTTTTTTGAAAATCACGTATCACCCAAGACTTACTGGTTATTCAAAGAGTAAGATAGTATCTATGACCTGGCATGTGCTGTAACCCTAGAACTTGGAAAGAAGAGGCAGGAGCATCAGGAGTTCAAGGCTACATAGAGTTTGAGGCTAGCTCGGGCCACATGAAACCCTCTCACACAATGTTGAGAGCCTGGAAATGACAACATCTCTGTGTAGGGATTTCCAACAAGCTAAAAAAGGCATTTGCCTGTTAACCCAGCAAACATACTTGTAGGGATCTCTCCCAATAATTTTCCAAAAAAGAAAATGAAAAGACAAATGAACAGAGCTATTCATTCAGCAACATGTGTAATCCCCAAAGCAATTAGGCCTGTGAAGATCAGAGGGTTGTTCGAGGGAGTCAGGCACAGAGTCAGTGTGGTACCATGTAAAGAGAGGAGTTTTTACTGCAACCAGATAATCTCCAGTGGTATCGTAAATAAAATAAGGGCTGCAGGTGCAACACAGTGACCCAAGCATGCCTAACATGTGTGAAGTGCTGGGTAGCACAAACAAAAAATGAAAGAAAGTATATGTTTTTATTTATTGCATGTGGGGGCACACATGTGTGGGGGTCAGGAATTAGTTCTCTCCTTTCATGTGGGTTTTAGGGTTTGAACTCAAGATGTCAAGCTTGGCGGCAAGCTCCTTTACCCACTGAACCCTCTCACAAACTCACTGCTAAGCGTCTCTCCTGCTTCTCCCGAGTAAGATGGGTGCACCCCAGTCTCAGCGACTGCCTCTAGTCACCTGTCTGCAGCAGCAGTTCTTCTAGTATTTGTGTGGCTGACTTCTGCTGCTGCATGGAAATTGGCCCCACATTCTTCAGGAACCAGAAATCAGGCATCTTCCAGGGCAGCCCCAGGTGCTGGGCATTGATAATGCTGTCCACGTCAAATGCTCTCTGGGCTAGCGCCTTCGCCTCTTCTTCATTCATCAGCCAAATCTCCCTAAACTTCTCGGCATCAATAATGGTGAAGTGTCTGTGAAGGAAAGTCACTCAGCTCAGCCAGCTGGCCTCAAGGCCGGCCCCTGCCCACATCATCAATAGGATAAGAACATGAGGAAGAATTTCAAATTCTCTGTGTGGGATAAAATGTAGCTGTTCCAATGAGAAATAAAAACAGATGCTTGACACATGATGGAGGAGGTCAAGGGATGGAGGAACATATACATGAGAGAGTCTTCCAAAAGAGCTGGTGATCTCAAGTCTAATGAAATCGCTGCTGCTGCTGCTGCGCCCCTGCCAACTCCCCTCCTGCCATCACCCCCAACTCCAGGACGAATCCCCTTGAGACCTCATAGCTTTCTGTAGCTCCTTGAACTGCCCCACGAGGCGTTTGTAGTCGGAGGTCAGGGACTGGTTCTCCTCTTGAAACTGTCTTATCTGCTTGGCGTATTTAGCTCTCAGGTTGTTAAGAATGTCGTGCATGCTGATTGACAGGAGGCAAAAAAAGCAAAGTTTGGCAGCTAAGCAGGGGGGGCGGGGGGGGGGCAGTCCTCCCCCCTCACCTGCCTGACTTTCTACCCCTTCAGGAGAAATAAGTATTTACCATCCACCCCTGCCTGGGGACAGCACAGAAGCCATGCTGCCCCCAAAGCAAGCTTCTCTATACAGGCTCGCTCACTCACCGATTGAGTTTCCTCTTCTGCTGGGATTTGATTACGGTGCTCTCTTCATCTCTCTTCTTCAGCACTTGGAAGTTGTACTCTAGCTTCTCTTGGTTTAGCTGGTAAGTTGCTTTTATCTGCTGAAGCTGTTGCTCAAGAATCTGGTGTCAATTTTAACAGTAAATACACATGCATACCTAGCTGGCCCTAGTACTATTCCCAAGGACCTTGTTCAAGTCATGCTCTAAAGCGACCTCAGGGACATGTGCCTCAACCTAAACTAGAAGTTCTATCTATCAACATAGTGTTGGATTGAAGATGGCTCAGCATTTAAGAGTATTTGTTGTCATTACTGAGGACTGGAGTTTGGTCTCCAGAACACATGTCGGGGAGAGGGTCCAGTGCACTCTGCTGGCCTCTGCAAACACCTGTACATACATGTGCATATACACACAGACACCCAAACACAAAAATTAAAAACAAAATAAATCTAGAAAAGAAAAGGAGAAAGTGTCAATAGAGGCAAAACAAAGGACAACTGGATAAAATACAAATGGGTCATCTGGCAGCTAAACCAGCGTACTCAAAGAGGAAAGAATGTGGCAAGTATTTCCCAGTGCAACTAACTCTGGCACTATGCTCCACACCCTTCAATGGGATGAAAAGCTGCCTTTAAAATCACCAGAAAATAATTACCACAAAAGCTTGAAATTTCAGCTAGGTGGTGGTGGTGCACACCTTTGATCCCAGCACTTGCGAGGCAGAGGCAGGTGGATCTTTGTGAGTGCAAGGCCAGCCTGGTCTACAAAGTCAGTTCCAAGACAGCCAGAACTGTTACACGGAGAGACCCTGTCTCCTCCCCCCCCCAAAAGTTCAAAGTATGAATAGGGTGCTATGAGAACACAGAGAGGAACACTTTCCTTCTTCAATCAGAAGCCCTTGGCCTTGAGAGACCAGGAAACAGCCCTGAGGAGATGGCACCCTCATGTCTGCTGAGACCCGGATGAGTAGGACTTAGTGAGGTGACAGTGAGAACCACGGGCACTGGAAAGAGGAAATGGCACAGGAGACACAGAAGCAAGGGCGAGAGGTGCCGGGAGAAACCGCAAGCACTTCAGGATGCAAGGCGCGAGGCGCAATGACTAGAGATGAGGTGGGCTGTGCAGCTGAGCTTCACCGAGATGGGGAGTTAAAACAGCATCCTAAAGTCAAGGAGGGACTGCGAAGGGCACTAAGCAGGGGTGCCCACACCCTGAAGAAGGTTACTGTGTCAACTTGTAGTATATGATTAGAGAGGCTGGACACATGGTGCACGCCTTTAATCAGAGCCATCCAGAGGCCCAGGTAGTGGGACTGTGAGTTCTGGGCCAGCCTGATCTACATGTTGAAATCTTCAATTTGTTAGTTAATCTGTCTGCAAATATGTGGTATATATGTGTATTCACATGTGTGTGCAGGGCTGCATGCATGTGAGTGCCATGTGTGGAGGACAGAGGTTGACATCAGGTGGTTTTGTTATTTTATTTTTTTAATCTCAATTACTCTCTGCCTTATTTGTTTAAAACACTGAACTTGGAGCTCACTGACTCTAGTTTTTCAAGACAGGGCCCTGACTATCCTGGAACTCACTTTGTAGACAAGGCTGGCCTTGAACTCATACAGATCTGACTGCCTCTGCCTCCTGAATGCTGGGATTAAAGATGTGCACCACCATTCCCAGAGGGTCCACCTATCTCCAACCCCCTGACACTGGAATTACAGGGACATGCTACCATGTCCAGCTTTTTATGTGGGTGCCAGGGATTTGAACTCAGGATCTTATGCATAGCAATCACTTTCCTGACCGAGGCATCTCCAAAGCCCAGCTAACTATTTGAAGATTAGAGAGACAGGCTAAGAAGAGTTGGCAAACACAGCAGGCAGCAGACACTTCCTCTCCTGGGAAGGGGTGATTTCACACATGTTCTCCCCAAAGCCTTTTTCCTGTCCCTCCCCCAGTCTACAGATCCCTTTCAAGGAACTTGTATTCAAGGATTCTGTATCCATTGGTGGAGAGTTAGTCCCAACTGCACCTCTCACTGCCAGCACTGAATACCTTGTAGACCAGCCTCACAGAAGACACCGGAATGATGGGCAGAGAGCTGCCAGAAGCTACATGTCCTACCACATCTAGCATTTAATGTTGAAATTTCTGATTTGAACAAGAGCCAAAGGGACTGATGGAAGATGCTCAGAGCAGAATCAATGGCCTTGACAATGCTTCTGAGGGCCAGTCCAATGTGGCTCCAGAGGACAATTCTTCCTCCTTGATGGAAACCACCCACTCTGCTCCAAACATGACATCTTCCAGGACATAACCCAGAAATCTGGATCAGAACCCAAGCCATTTGTGCTCAGAGGCTGGCCAAGGACCAGTGAGGTGGCTCTCAATACAGAAGTTGGAGACACAAATTTGATGCTGGATGGGGTAACATGAACATGTATGGACACAGAGAATATGCTCTCCAGAGGCACTTAGAATTAGAGACAGCAAGGGGCTCTTCCGGTCCTCTCTGGGAAGCACAGCGTCTGCAGTGCTGGTTTCCAGCCCCCCACCCCATGCTTTCCACAGGATAGCACTCCCCAAACCTTGGAGCTCAAGGACTCCAGTCAGTTTTCCCCTCTGCAATCTGGAAGAAGTTAACTATTCTGATTTTATAAGCAAAACCCCAAAGCAACCAGACCCAGGCAACCCAACCACAACAACCGTCATCTGATTGTTTTGATTTGCATCTCTGGCAAACATTTGCTCCTTGTTCTGCTTGAGAGCAATTCCAGGAGCCAATACCTTGGGCACTGCCAATGTGCCAAGTGCCCGGCAACAGCCCCCAGGCCTTTGGGTTTCACCAGATCTCAGATGCAAGGCTGCTCCCACTGGAGTTTCAAAGGCAATGGCACACAGGGGTTGTTGGCAGTGCAGCCAAGGATCCCACACCACTCACAGAAGCCTGTGTCTCCCACAGTCCCTCTCTGCAGGGCACAGTGACATGATTTATATAGCTGGTCACTCGTTTTTTCTCTTTATGCTTATTGTAATTTTCTCACCAATGTCTCACTGTCAGTCATCACAGGATTCAGTCCCAACACAGCTATCCTTGATTGCTATATATTAAGTACAGTTTGCTTGTTTGCTGTTTTTTTTTTTTTTTTTTTTAGAATGGTCTCATGTAGCCTAGGCTGGCCTCCGACTCACTCTGTAGCCAACAATGGCCCGCTGATCCTTCTGCCTTCACCTCATAGATTCTAGGACTACAGGCATGCATCATCACATCCCTGGCTCCATCCCCAGCCCTGCACTAAATGCCACCGTGCCTGGCACATACTCAATGTTTTGTGGTTAACACCCTGGTATTAAAAACAGCAGCTCTTAGTAAGAACTGAGCTTACAATTTTAAATGAGCATGGACCAGTTGGGCCTGGTGGCATAGGCCTACAACCTCAGCCCGAGGCTGAGGCAAATATGTCACAATTTCAAAGCTACCTAGGGCTACAGGATGGCTTCATGGCTCCAAAGCTACAGAGAAACCCTGTCTTGAAAAAACAAACAAACAAATAAATAGAGTTAAACTAAGGGGCTGAAAAGATCTGGCTCGCTGGTTAGGAGCACTGTCTGCTCCTGCAGAGGACCTGTGTGTCCTTTCCTAACCCTCACCCAGTGGGTTCACAACTGTCCCAGCACTTTGAAGATAGACGTAGGAAGATCGGGAGTCCAAGATCATCCTTAGCTACACAGAGTTCAAGACCAGCTGAGGCTACATAAAACTCTAACTGCCCTGCCCTGCCCCACCCCCACCAAAAAGAAAAAGAAAAAAGATAAATACTACAATGAGTGGCTGCTTCTGAGACACTGTGAGTAGTAGCTAATAGACACTCGGGCATTTGTCACCTACGGTGCCCTGGTCCTGAGGTGGGGAGCCATCTCTCACCTGCACATCCCGCTCTAGCTTGATCTTAATCGTGTTGTATTCTTCACAATCCCAGACCCGCTGCTTGTTGAGCTGCTTCTCGTAGTCCTCCACCTTCTTCATGCGGTTGATGAGGTACTCCAGCTAAGGGCAGGCAGAGGGTGAGATTCTCAGATTCGGGAGCCTCCCTCCCAGCCCCACCCTCCAAGAGCCTGACAAGCAGGGCACAGTGCAGGGCCCAGGAGTCTGGACAGGGATGTCTGCTGGCATTCAGAGACCCAAGCTCCAAGGCTTTGAGCTCTCAGAGTCCTGGCTGGGCTCTTATTGTAGAAACAACAGAGAGGCAGGAGCCGAGTGGTAGCCCAGCTGTTAGGAGAGAGCGATGTTCCCAGCACCCACACAGCTACATGTCAGCACAACTCCAGCTTCAAGAAATCTAATGACCTCTTCTGGCTCTGAAGGCTCCTATACACATTCACACACACTCGCATACCTAATTACCAAATAATAAATAATAATAATAATTTTTAAAAAATATTTTTGTCAAGAGAAGTTAAATACACCCTATAACCCAGCCTTTACAGTGTAAAATAATAGCAATAGTAATGTGCCTTAGTCATGTCTCTTCTTTGTTTTTTGTACCTATGAAATAAAGTGGTACAATATTCCTACACTTTTAAAAATGTGTCCTACAATTGAATTGTATATAGCTGCAATCCCAACAATCACGAAGCAGAAGTATGTCCACAAGTTCAAGGCTAGCCTGTTCTACATACTGAGTTTCAGGCAACCCAGGACTACCATAGTGAGATTATCTCAAACAATTAATAACAATATTTAATGAACTGCACCTTGAAAGTTTCCCGAACTGGGGTAGCTCAGTGGAAAGAATGCTTTTCTAGCATACACACAGGAAGTCCTGGGTTGGACATGGGTTGTAACATTGTATACCTAGGATTCCAGCACTGGGGCAGAAGACCAAGGTCCCTGGCCATATAGAAAGTTTGTGGCCACCCTAAGATACATGAGACCCTCTGCCTCAAGAAAAAAAAGGAAAAAGGCAAACACTTCCTTGGGCCACAAATACTATCATGAATGGATTCCGAAGAGACAATGAGAAGATGGCGGAGTCCTGTTGGACACACTCAGCCTTCAAAGCCACACTGACTAATGATGAGGCACAGAAAGGAGCGAGAGCCGCACACATCACATTCCACCCAAGGTACTTGAGACCCAAGGCTCAGCCACATCCAATACTGCCCACGGGCCCACCCTGGAGACCCCCCCACCCCACCTGCTCAGCCACTGCTTTACCTCCTTGGCATTGTGACCCTGCAGCGCTCGCTCCCATTTCTTCTTATTACTGGACAGCAGCTCTTGTCGTTCTAACTCAAAGGCTTTCTACAACCAAGGTGGGGAAAGGTCCTGGTGTCCACTTCCATTGCAAGGGGCAGGCGGGCAAGGCGGGGCGGGGTGGGGCGGGAGGGGAGGTGTCACACCAGTACCAAAGAACTTTAGGTAACCACAGAAGTGCCTATTCGTATAGGTGAAGTTACATACAAAAATGGACTTGCCAAATTCCATGTGAATGGAAGTTAGCAAGTGCATATGTCTCATAAATGCTGACAGGAAGCTTACCCAGAGTGCTATAGTTTAGTCTACCAGAGCACCGGTACTAGGGGCAAAAGAAGTGCCCTGGGTGACATCACAGGGCAAACCTTGGCAGGTACCACAAACTTGACTAGCATTTCCATGGCTACAAAGATAACATGTGGATTGGGAAGGCCTTGCATTACTAAGTGAAACGAGCAAGAGTCAGGAGGGTTCAGGTACTTGTCATGGTGGCAACAGAAAACTGACTGCACATCCTCCACCCTGGCTGCTTTCACAGCACTTTCTAGTGCCAGCCTAATTATGTGGCTAGGAATTTACATGTTTAGTACTAGCTGTCTCTGTTTTGTCCATGGCTGTCTGGCCTGCTCCTGGAGCAGTGTCTGCCATATGCTAAATGCTTGACTATTACTTGTTGAATAATGAACAAATGAGCAAACAAACCCTAAAATCAGAGGTCAGAGCCACTGGAGCCTCGATGTAGGCTGTCAGGACAGGGGCAGCCACCCTCCCAGAGTCCCCACGGCCCTCACCTCGATGTGGATGAGCTCCTGCCGGAAGTTCTTCATCACATTCTTCACTTGCTCCTCCATCCTCTCTAAAAGCAGGCTGATGTCGTCCGACTGTTTCTTCAAGTCCTTGACGTACTGGTCATCTTTTATTTTCAACTCCTTGAGAAGGACACAGGCATAAGTCAGCCAGAAACAGAGGCAGAAGCAAGAGCTTCCAATCATAACCACCCACTACCTCCCATCCAAATCTGTAAACACTGGGACCTAAGGCAGGCTTGATGGCACTGCCTAAAGATGGGAGGATTGTGAGTGTAAATCAGCCTTGGTTCAAGGCCACTCTAGGTTTCATAGTGGGTTCAAGGCTGGCCTGGCCTAAATAGCAACACTTGGCTTAAAAAAAAAGAAAAAGAAAAGGAATTCAGGAGTGGTGGTGTGTTATAGAATATTATTTTAACTATGCAAAGATGTGTTACATTTGATTACGCTACAGACCATTACTTTAACTGTGCAAAGGCGTGTTACTTTTGTTTACATTGCATTTGTTTAACACTCTAAGGATGTATGTTTAATTATGTAATGATGTATGGCATCTGTTTCTCCTTGCCTGTCTACGGCACCAGATTGGTCTAATAAAGAGCTGAATGGCCAATAGCTAGGCAGGAGAAAGGATGGGGGCAGGTTGCCAGGCAGAGAGAATAAGTAGGAGAAGACATCTAGGTGAGAGGGAGAGGGAGGGAGAAAGAATGAGGGAGAGGAGAGAGAGAGAAAGATAGAGGGGGGAGGACAGCACAGAGTGAAAGAAGGATAAGGAGAGAAGGGGGGGGATGCCTGGGGTCAGAAGCCAGGAATCCCCAGCCAGCAGGCACACGAAGCAGTGAAAGTAAGATATACAGAAGGAGAGAGAAGTAACCTCCCTCCCGAGGCAAAGGTAGACAAAGAGAAACAGGTTAATTAGGTTAAAAGAGCTAGCCGGAAATGAGCCTGAGTTAGGCTGAGCATTCAAAACTAGTAAGTCTCTGTGTCATGATTTGGGATATGGGCCATGGCCCAAAAGAAAAGGCCTATTCAGTGGGGTACGTCTTTAAATCCCAGCACTTGGAAGGCAGAGGCAGGCAGTGCAGGGTACAGCTTTGCGCTAGGCAAGCACTCTACCACTGAGCTACAGCCCAACCTCAACATGCCCATACCATGGTGAGAGTCCTCTCGATGTTACTGGAGCCAGAGCTCTAGCTCAGGTGGTAGAGTGCTCACTTAGCATTCATTTGGTCGGCCTTCATTTGGTCCATAACACCACACAAGTCCGGATTAGTGGCACATGCCTGTAACCCAGTACCTCAAGGTCATTCTCAATTACAGACTGCTTACAAAGCCAACCAGAACTGTAAGACTGTGCCCAGAAACTGCGTATGTTAAAAAAAAAAAAAAAAAAAAAAAAAAAAGGAGCCAGGGGGTGGTGGTTCACACATTTTGTCCCAGCACAGAAGCAAGCAGATCTCAGTAAGTTCGAGGCCAGCCTCATCTACAAAGTGTTTAGAAACCCTGTCTTGGAAAAAAATATTTAAAAAAGGTGGGGGTGGATAAGAAGCACTATTGAAATAGCTGGACAGTTCACATGTAAAATATAAAATAGTGCTCTCTCTCTCTCGCCTAATGTCATAAAACATTAACTCAGAATAAAAACTTAAAAGCAAAGCCTAAAACAGCAATACCTGGGAAAAAATGGGAAAAGCCTTGGGAGAGTAGATTTGCAGTGGGAACAAAATCAAAAGTAGACAAATGGGACTGTGCCAACCTCAAAAGCTTCTGAGTGTTTAAAGAAATTGTCAACAGAGTAAAGCAGACCACATAGATGAGTCAGCTGAACAGGACCATCTTCCCGAGAGAGCTGGCTCGAATAACACCCACGGAGCTTCAACTTATCATAAAAATACAATCAAGTGCATTTCTTTCTTTCCCCCTCAACATCATCTCACTGCTGTAGCCCATCTAGCCTTGGGCTTGCTATCCTCCATCAGCCATGTAAGTGCTGAGATTCCAGGTGTATATCACCATTACTGGCTTGAATTGTCACAGGCTTGATGATAATGTAAGGCAGGAAAAGCCAAGAACCAGCAGGCCATGCCCCCTTGGCCGGGATGGAAGCCCATCCCTTGCCTGCTGCAGCCCCTTGCCTGTTGCAGCTCGCTGATCAGCTTGTTCTTGTCTTCTATGAGGCCAGCACAGTGCACCTGCTGGGTGTTGAGCATTTCCCACAGTTCCTGGGGAATCCGCTTTTGTCTGCCTTCCTCCCACTTGGCCGTGATTTCGTCAAATTTGTCCTGGCTGGTCTTAACTTCATTCTCCAGCTTCTCGAGTCTGCAAATAGAAGCATGCTGGGTGCTCTAGATCCTGCCTCCCAGAGGAGCAGGGCAGCTTCTCCTAAGAGAATGACACAGGCTTCATGGTCCAGGCTCTTCCCTCAGATGTTCACCCAAAGCCAAACCAAACTCTGGGGAAACTATTTCTAGCTTAATGTTGTACTGCACTTTATTTATTTAGTGTATTTGTGTATGTGTGTGTACATGCACATATGTGTGTCGGCAGACATGTGCCCCACAGCCTGTGTATAGAGAACAGAGGACAACCTGAAGAAGTCAGTTCTCAGATTCCACCATGTGGACCCCAGAGATGAACTCAGTTTTTGAGGCAAGCATCCTTACCAACTGAGCCATTTCCACACCTTTTCTTTTCATTTAATGCTTCACCCCAAGAAACTTACATCAAGCACCTGTCAAGACAGACAGACCAACAAGAAGTTTGTCTCTTGACAACCCATGCGATGGTGCACATGCCTCTCCCCACTCTCCATGATTCCATCTACATTGAAATCTGTGATGGTTAATATTGTTTGTCAGCCTGATGGGGTTAGAATCACCATAGAAACAAACCTCTGGGCATGTCTGTGAGGGTGTGTGGATTAAGTCAACTAAGGTGGGCAGCACCAGTGCACAGGTTAGAGGGTTGGAGTCCAGGGCTAACTCGAAAGGAGAAGCTGATGAGCACCAGCAGTCATCTTTCTCTAGCTCTTGGCTTCGGCCATAGCGTGACCAGCTAGCTGCCTCAAGCTCCTGCTGACATGACATCCCTGCACGATGAACTGTAACCCCAAAGTGAGCCCTCCCTTCTCTAAGCTCATCTGGTCAGGTCTTTTGCCCAAGCATCAAGACCAGTGACAAAGACAAAACCTCTTCTTCATAAACGCCAACCCTGATTTAAAAACAAGCCAATGCTAAACCTGCCCGTGCATTTGCATCAGGCCAACTGGGCTGGGTGAGGTGAAGACACACTTAGAATTATTGCAAACAGCTTAGATTCAGACCCTGACCTTACAGTGAGTGGACTCAAGCCACTTGACCTCCGCAAGCCTCATGCTCCTCCCTCTGGACAATGCAGACAATGAAATATCTACCTTGTTGACTGACCTTTGTGTACCCATTGCTGGGATTAATAAAATGACACACTATTTGGGGACTCAGTACATGCCAGCCACCTCACAAGTAGTACCTAAATTCTTTTTGTTGAGTGTCTTGGATGTAGCCCAGGCTGGCCTGGAACTCAATAGGTATTCCTGAGTGGCTTCAAAAGTGAGGTTATGCTCCTGCCTCATCTTTCCAACTGCTGAGATGAACACAGGCATGACATCACACCCAACTCTTAAAGCCTTATGTGTGCTTTCATGAACACCACAGCCTCAGTGGCTGGTCACTCCCCTTCCATCACCAGTAACAAAACCAGGAGCGCCTTTTAGAAATGCCAGAGGCCCTGTTGGGGTTGAGGAGCAGTAGAGAAACTGGCATCAGAGCTGAGGCAGTAGCTATTCTGAATATGGTGGCTAGGACCACACCATCCCTATAACTCTCTATGTCACCAAAAAGAGCACAAACAAAAATATCCTATAATCACATTGCATACCTCCACTATCCAAGCTAGGTCACAATACCTACTACAATTTTTCTTTTCTAAAATATGTTGCTGCATATGTACATAACACTGAGCTACCTGTGAGTCTGGTCATTCAATTATTTAAATGGGTTGATTTTTTTTACCCTCCCCTCTCCACTCCAAATCTTCACCATCATGTTGCCTTGAAATGGCACCTCTAAATGCCAGCCACAGTAATGTCATCCTTCAGCATGACTTCAGGTAATGGTCCTGTAATGTCACGCTGTTTCCTGGGGTTTTTACTACCATCAGAGGAGCCCGGAAGAGGAAGTGTATAAGGACACTGTCTCAATGTGCTGTTTTATCTGAGCCCTAGCCACCTCTACAGAGAGAACACTAGGGGGCACTCGAAGCCCAGGTTTCCGTCGAGCCATAGGAAAAAAAATCTGTTGGCAGAGGTGGATATTGACTTCAGGTGAATGTGGCCCCTGTGGTCATCATTTGCTTCGTCAGCAACGCCTACTCAACAAGGTACACCTGTAAGAGTCATTCCAGAGGCTGCTGGCACCATCTGAGTCACCTGCCACTCCCAAGCACATTTTGAGATTGCATGCCTCTGCCTAAAATGCCTACTCAACAGCTGAAACTCTACTTAGCCTTTCCAGCCCAACCTAAAAGCCTGCTGATTTCCCTCTGACCTCTGCAGAGAAACCCTAAAGCTTCCTTGCGTGTCTTCCTGCGGTTCTTTACCTTCATCTCAATTCTAGAACAAATTATGGTTGAGTGTTCCGTGTTAATCAGAGGAAGGGACAGGTGTACCCTTTCATGCCCACACAGTTTGGGAACACTTGAGGAAGGGAGGGGGGAGACATGGGGTGGGGAAAAAAGAAGGTGATTCATGAGGAGCAGAAAGGAGGTTTCATGAGACAAAGTAGGACAGATTTTCATTCCTAGGACTCGGAACCTAAGAACTGGCACACGTTGGCAGTACGGAAGCGCAGTTGATGCCTCCCTCACCGCTGACGCTTCATCTCCTCTTCTTCGACTCTCCTATGGATCTCTCTGATGTCTGTAGCCACCTGGATATTTGTCACCAACTCAGTACCACAGAGTAGGAGTTTAGTCAATTTCTGAAAAACAAGGAGAAGCTGTTAAGCTAGAACATTGTGTAAAGAGTTTGGAGGGCTGATGACACAGCTCAGTGAGTAAAGGTTCTTGCTGCCAAACCAGATCACTTGAGTTCAACCCCCAAAACCTACACTGTAGAACAGACTCCCACAAATTTTCCTCTGACTGCCACATGCACCATGGCATATGACACCCTGGCCACATGAATAAATAAAATGTAATTTTACATTTAAAAAATTAAGGCTAGGTGTGGTATTGCATGCCTTTAATCCTGGAACTCAGGAGGTTGAGGCAGGTAGATCTTATTTTAAGGCCAAGCTGCTCTACACAGCAAATTCCAAGCCATTGCTTTAGGATCTCTGGTCTGTACTGCCCTGCCCGCTCAGCACTAGCATGGGGTCTCGGGATCTGAGCTCCAACCCTTGTGCTTTGGACACGACACTTGAAACACTGAGCCATCCCATTTCAGTTTGTTTGTTTTTAAGAGAGACTCATACTATATCCTAGGCCCATCTTAAACACATAGCAATCCTCCTGCCTCAGTCTCCTGGATGCTGTTCCCACAGATACATGTCACATTTCCTGACAAGAACCCACCACAATCTGAGAGCTCACTCCTAGGGAACCCCCCAGGTGGACAGACTCCAGGTCAGCCCCATCTAGGGAGAGAGGCGCAGTTTCTGCCTGCAGTCAGGGAAGACCAAGCTAAGGGCTCCGCTGTCGCCAGCTCGTACCAGTCTGCTCTCCTCTTTCTGTTTGTAGCTTCTGCTTTGGTCTTCCACACTCTCCTTCTTTCCGTCCAGATACTCTCCAAGGGCCTCCCTGTGGCAGAGAGATCAAAGCCGGGCCCTGAGGGTCATGCTGTCTTTAAGTGCTTAGTCTACTGATAAAACAGCCCACTTGGATTTTTTTTGGGGGGGACACAGGGTCTCACTATGTACCCCTAGCTGTCCCAGGCTAGCCTTGAACTTGAAGAGACCTACCTGTCTCTAATCCCAAGTGCTGGGATTGCAGACATGCATCATTATGCCAGACTTAGATAAACTTTTAAATAATAAAATTCTAAGAACTAGAGACATATCTTACCTAACATAAGTAAAGCCCTAGGTTTGATTCCCAGAATCACCATATACACAATTATAATAAAAATGCTGGAAGTATTTACATAGTGAGTTCTAGGACATCCAGAGCCAGAGCTATATAGAGACCCTGACACACACACACACACACACACACACACACACACACACACACACACACAAACAGGCTGTGGTGGCACCTGCCTTTAATCCTAAATTTAATCTAAATGCAAGGCCAGCCTGGCCTACACAGTGGAAACCCTGTCTCAAAAAAAAAAAAAAAAAAAAAAATGAAAAGCAACAAAACCCCACACTAGGAGCAAATGTAGGAGAATGGAGAACCTTGGCACATCCAGTTTGTCTTTGAATAAATCTAGTCAGGTGAACAAGACTTGAGTGCTATAAATCGCCCTGATGGTTGGAATTGTCAGTTTCCAGAACCTGGAATCACCTGGGAGATGGGTATCTGGACCATATATGGAGTCTGTCTTGACATAGCTACCATGGGAGAATCACCACCCACCATCCCTGGTTGGGATCTTTGTCTGTTGTGAACTATGAGGAAAAATCACCAAGATGGTGCCTGGTAGCTGGCATCTCCTCTTGTGACATTTGTCCACATGGTAATTAGCAGCTGTGGGTACCAGCCGATGCCACCTTTCACCTTTCTGACTTTCCCTTTCTCTGAATTATTCCTGTAGGCTTCACCTGGGGTTCCCCAGGAGGGAACAGGCCTACAAGGTATGGTCTTTGTTGAGAACAAAACCAGCCATTTACTCTACAGTGTGGTCACATTAAGAGAAAATTCCTTTCCTGCCTTTACCATTGCTCCTGTCAGTTGACCTTTCCAATGCATAGCTGGGCCTGGACCTTTGGAACCCCTCAGTACAGAACCCTAGCAATCCAGTTACATCCTGTCTTAGTTAGGGTTCCTATTGCTGGGATGAAACACTATAACCAAAAAGCAAACTGGGGGAGGAAAGGGTTTATTTGGCTTAAATTTCTATGTCACTGTTCATCATTAAAGGAGATTGGGCAGGAACCTGGAGGCAGGAGCTGATGCAGAGGCCATGGAGGGGTGCTGCCTACTGCCTGTCCCCATGGCTTGCTCAATCTGCTTTCCTTCTTCCTTCCTCCCTTCCTTCCCTCCTTTCTTCCTTTCTTAATATTTTCTACTTTTTAAAGGTTTGTTTATTATATATACAGTGTTCTGTCTGCATGTATGCCTTCACGCCAGAAGGGGGCACCAAATCTCATTACAGATGGTTGTGAGCCATTATATGATTTCTGGGAATTGAATTCAGGACCTCTGGAAGACCAGCTAGTGTTCTTAACCACTGAACCACCTCTCCAGTCCTCAGTCTGCTTTCTTATAGAAGCCAGGACCACCAACCTGGGATGACCCAACCACAATGGGCTGGTCCCTCCCCCATCAATCATTAAGAAAATACCCTACAGGCTGGCCTGCAGCTGGATCTCATGGAGGCATTTTCTCTTGAGGTTCCCTCCTCTCAAAAGAGTGTAGCACGTGTCAAGTTGACGTAAAACTGTCCAGCACACATCCCTATTCTCACATCAGAGTAGAAAAGATTTTAAAAGGTTGAAAATACAGGTACCATTTACACAATGTGTAACAATCTGGGCATAAAGGACAGTTTGGTAAAATTGACCAAAATGTGAAATTTGTTTACTCTCCTACTAGCCCTCATTACTAATTTTCTTAAGTTTTCACGGGGACATGAATACAGAGACACAGTGATAGCTGCTGTTACATCAATGGGAACATGAAACAGTCTCAGGTATAACAGCAGTTGACTTCTTTATTTTTAAATGATGTACATGTGTGTGTGTGGCGGGGGGGGGGGGGGGTTATTGTGACAGTGCCCACAGAGTCCAGGAGAGGGTGGTGAATCCCCTGGAGCTGGAGTTTCAGGCAGTCATGGAATACCCAATGTGGATGCTGGGAGCCAACCGCTGGTCCTCTGCAACAGTGGTATGTCAGCCACCTCTCCAGTCCCAGCAGCCGCAGCCGACTGAAGTAGCTTACACAACAGCAACAGAAAGAGCTACTTAGTAGCTCAGAGAAGGATAGGTGTAAGGTCAAGTAACATGGAAAGCAGAGCACTCTTGGTATTAGGCTGACTCTGAGCCACAGAGTGGGGCTGTGTCCACATTCCTGCCACTGCTGGCAATATGACAAACAGAAGAAAGCAATGACTTAAGAAAAGGGAATCCAGTTTGTGAGGACTTTTCCTCCTCCTCCCCCTCCTTCTCCTCATTTTCCTCCTCTTTCTTCTCCTTCCTCCTCTTCTTTTTTTTTTTTTTTTTTTTTTAACCTAGTTACTGCATAAAGTTTACAAATGGCATAAAACAGACACTTAGGGCCTGGAGAGATGGCTCAGCTCTTAGAGGGAGTACTATGCATTATTGTCCATTTTTACAATGTTCTTCCCCAGACCTTCAAAAGACCCTGGAACCCACAGTGACCTTGGAGGGAGGAGAGGGGAAAGAGACAAGGGTTTGGGATTCTCCAAGGAGGCAGCAGGCAAATAGCTTGCCACCCCCCCCCCCCATGCTGCTTACTACCAAAAGGCCTCCCTCACTCCCAAGGCACAAGCCTTCATAAGGGTGAGTGGCTTTAAGAAGGAAGCTGTCAGGATTCCAGCATTCATTAGGAAACAAGGAGATCCCTTCATTGGCCTCAGCTCCACCCACTCTGTTCAAAGTCCACCGCTGCCCATTTTTGAGATAAGAAAGCTTAGAGTCCCCACTGGGCTCTGAGTCTTATCCAAATCCTTCTCAACAGTCCTTCCGCTCAGTTTCCTTATTTGAATTCACCCTTTGCTTTCTGGAAAGAACACTAATTGTTCCCTTCATCTAGGACATTGCCAGGCTAATTTACCTACATTCCCCAGGCCCACCTCAAGCATCCTACATTGGCTATCAGTCATTTAATTAATAACCAACTCTGTCTAAATACTTACAGCTAATTCCTGGAACAAAGATCAGGGGTTCAGAAAGGAAAGTGACTGCTACAAACTCTCACCAAGTTTCTATTTCAACCCTTTGCTGCTTTAATTCATCTGTTTTGACATCCTGGGCACTGAGCTGACTAATATGGTGGCCACTGACCACACTAGTCAATCGGCCCTTGAAACAGAGGTGAGTTCAAAGCACACAATACAGGGCTGGAGAGATGGCTCAGTGGCTAAGAACACTTGTTCTTGTCTGGCCCATCCATGAAGGCAATACCTGGTTCCAGGAAAGATCATAAACTGAGACCACCCAGGCACCACTCAGAAACAGACCTAACGGGAAAATACCTAATGTTCCAACCATTGTAGATAGGATCATCAGATGTCCCTTAGCCCAGCACACACCCATCCCCTTTCACCAAGACACCCCTAGACAAATGTCAGTCAATCAGGGTCCTGAATCTTAACAATCCCTCATTCCAACCTCTGCTATGATAAAACTCCACCCCAACTGAGCTCGAGGCTCTCTGATCATGCCAATACATTGGTCACACGGAGGGTCCAAGTTCAAACTTGAATAAAGGCTCTTTGCCTTTACATATGGGATTTATTTGAGGGGGGGGGATTCCATGATCTGGGCATAACAGCTCTCATAGAGGACCTGGCTTCAGATCTCAGCACCCACCTGCCTTGAAATCAGCCACAACGCTAGTTCTAAGGATTCGACACCCTCTGCTGATCTCCTCAGGCACAAGGCATGCGTGTGGTACATACACATTCATGCAGACAAAGCCATCATATAACATAAAGTAAAATTAAATAAATCTAAACACAAAAACCATCCACCAGGGGCTGGGAAAATAGAAACACTGAGGACCTGAGTTCAAACCTCCAGCCTCCAGCATCCATAGGAAGCTAGGCATGGTCATACTCTGCTGTCCTGTTTTATTTTGTTGGTTGGTTTCTCTGTGATAGATTCTCCTTATGTAGCTCAGGATGGCTGGGAACTCTTGATGCATCTGCTTCTGCTTCCTAAGTATTGAAGTTACTGGCATGTACCACAACCCCAGGCTCATCTGCACTGTGGAAGCTTGTAGGCACTTCTCTACTTTGCATGGACCCTCACTCCCTCTCTTCCTCTGTTCCTTCCTTTTCTCCTTTTCTTTCCCTTCCCTTGCTCTCCTCTCCACTCCCTTTCTTCCCTTTGTGCTGGGAATTGGCACATGATTGATCACTGAGCTACACCTTAGCTGGAGTAGGCCTACTTCCTTCATTATGCTGAAGAGTTTCTTTATGATTATTATTTTATGTTAAAGGTGTTTTGCCTGCAGGTATGTCTGTGTACCATGTGCCTGCCTACTGCCCACAGAAGCCAGAAGAGAGCAGTGGATCCCCTGGAACTGGTGTTAGAGACAGTTGTGAGCTGCCATGGGGTGTTAATCACCCAGGTCCTCTGAAAGAAGAGCTTGACTGCTGAGCCGTTTCTCCGGGCCTCTTTCTTGTTTTGTTTTGACACAGGGTCTCACTATGTAGCCCTAGCTGGCCTGGAACTCCCTATTTTGACAAAGCTGGCCCTAAACTCAGAGATAACGACTTGCCTCTGCCTCCTGAGTGCTAGGATTGTAGACATGTGCCACCACATTGATGGCAACTATTTCTTTTATTTTCCGTTTGTTTTTTTTTTTTTCTGTTTTTCGACAAAGGGTTTTTCTGTGTATCCCTGACTATCCTGGAACTCATTCATGTAGATCAGGCTGGCATCAAACTCACAGAGATCCACCTGCCTCTGCCTCCCTAGTGCTGGGATTGAAGGCGTGTGTCACCACTGCCTGGCTGACAACTATCTTTTTTTTTTAATATCATTTATCTATTCGTGTGTGTGTGTGTGTGTGTGTGTGTGTGTGTGTGTGTGTACTTAAGCTTAAGCCATGGCACACATGTGGGTCAGAGAACAACTTTCAGAAGCTGGATCTTGCTTTCTGCCTTGTTGAGGCAAGGGAGAATAAAACTAGAATCTCAGAAGAGATTTTAGTTACACATACATACAAGTATGTGAACATTCAAATTCCCCCAACTCAGAGACAATAAAGACCATTTAGAATTATTTCACTCCAAATACCCAATCACTTAGAGACTTGAAATATAGTATTACTATAAAGCAGAAAAAAATTTTAATATTATGACTAATATGCCTGATGTGGTAGCACCCAGTGTCTCCAGTACTTGGGAGGCTGAGACAGGCAACTTTCAGAGAGTTCAAGATCACCCTAGTCTATACCGGGAGGTAGTAGTGCAAGTCTTTAATCCCAGCCCCTGGAAATCAGAGACAGGCGGTCCTCTGAGATTGAGGTCAACCTGGTCTACAGAGTGAGTTCCAGAACAGCCAAGGCTACACAGAGAAACCCCATCTCAAAAAAGGGGGGGAGAAAGAGAGATCACCCTGGTCTATATATTTACAAGTCAGATCCTTTCTCAACTTCTGTACCCCAAAGGTATAACAAATGCATTATGTTTAGAGTATGTTTACATTACGCATACATTATGTTTACATTAACAAAGAGAGCTGATAGCACCGGGACAAGGACCTCCGAATTATGATCTACATGGGCCGTTTCTGTGGGCTGATTCTTTGGCTACTAAAGATTACTAAAAGACAATTCTCTCCTCAATCTGAGACCCATTTCCAAATGCCTAAAGGAAGTCTCAATTTTAATATCTTACAGTGTCCAACTTTGCTTCACGTGTTCCAAACCCAATCGTTAACGCCCTGCCTCGCTGTCCCACCAGCGTCTTGCCACCATCACCCTAGTTCCAGACACCGCCACCTGCTGTCCTCCATGCTTCACTGTCTTCTGCTCAAACAGCCAATCAGGAGCGTCCATCAGTTCCAACTGCTTCTCTCTAACCCACCCACAGAGTCCAGGCCGATCCCAGTCACCCAGAACCAGAATACCTGCCTCCTTCCTACCTTGTCTCCTTGGTTACGCTGCTGGCCCCTTTACACTGCTGCCCAAACAGTGAGCAGAGCAATTTGAAGGTGAAAGTGCTGCCCTTCCCACTGAAAAAGTAGCCTTTATTTTGTTGAGGCATTATCATACACCCCTATCAATCCACTGAATGCCCCAGTGGGTGCTTTCTCGGCTTCAGGTTTCTAGCTGCCTGTCGTTACGTCCCATGTCCGTTGTCTTCCTTTCTCTCTTACTGTTCTTGTCACAGCTCACAAGGTGCTACCTATTCCCCTGGTCCACTGTAATCTGTCCTCCCTCCCTCATTAGAGTATAAACTTCCTGAGGGAACTTTTGTCTCATAAGTCACCAAATCCCCCGTATCATTGTCAAAGCCAGAGCATGATCTACAGACAGTTTTGGAGATGGTTAAATTTGGCATGATTTGGAGCCAAACAGAAGGTCAGACAAGAGTCCAGGTCATCTGTCCACCAAGGAAAGCAGCAACAGACACACCGAGAATGCCCAGTCCCTGAACCAATACCAATTACAACAGACCTATTAACTAAAGAGGTGGAGGTGGCAGGGTTCCAGGAGGAAGAACAGGAACAAATGGCAAATATGTACTGTAATGATGCCTATAGCCCCTCCCCAAAGGACGGATGGTGAAGAAAGAGGGATACCCAGACAGTTTTAGGACTATTAAAACAAGATTTGAATTGCCACTGACACCTAGAGATGCAAACCATCACCATGGCCTCACCCAACCAGGATGAAGACACGCAGGCACCAACATTTTATGCTTCTGCTGGATCTGTACACTCAGCCAGTGGCCATTTTTCTGCTCACCAAAACTAAAACTGATAAACTACTTAGAAGTTGAAGAGCTGCCACATTAGGTCTGGGTAAGAGCTCTCACAGTGTGGATGTCCCTTCGACTGTGCCTAAGCTAATAAAGACTTGGTGGCCCGCTTCACACTTCCTAACTCACTGGTCTGGCACTCAAAATACCTGGATGGATTTTAGAAAATCATTATCAATTCCTGCAAGCACAAACAAGTAGTTGTCCTGATCTTTGCTACAGTAGATTAGCAAGCATGAACAGGGGTTCAGTGAGTGTGGCCACTAATTGAAATGAAAGCGTTTATTTTACTTTTATTATTTTATTTTATTTTCAGGAGACAGGGCCTTACTATGTAGACCAAGCTATCCTTGACCTCAAAGAGATCTATCTGCCTGTCTCTGACTCTCCAGTACTGGGAGATTAAAGGCATGAGCCAACACGCCTAGCTGTCCCAAAACTCACTGCTTGAATATTCTGGAAGAAAACGTTTCCTGCTCAAACTTTGAGCACACCCACTCCTCACTGCAGGGCTCCCACCCAGCCAGCCCCAGGTCCCGCCCCGTGGTCAGGAATCCCCACCATACCACCACCCTCCATCACTGCTCACCGCCTCCGGGCTTCCTGTCTGGCAGCAATGCGCAGTCGCCGAGCTTGGATGCGCTCCTGCGGGTTATCCGAATGCACCGAGGGCCCGTGAATCGTGGTGACCAAGTGTTCTTCGCCATTCTGCTCTATGACCCCAAGGTTTCCTGACGGATTCATGGCAGTGGCCTCCTGCCCACCGGCAGCTCCACCTGGACCCGCAGCCCTGTTGCTAGGAACAAGCCGTTGCCAGGGGAAGGCAGTCACCTGACCTACAGCTGGAGCAGGCTGCGCGCGCAGCTCTTCTGGAACAAGTGGGACCGACCTGTATCACTTTCTGACTCGAATGACCAAGTCATCATCCACTGACTAAATTAATATTTCTAAAATGAAAACTCCCCCTGCTACATGAAAAGCATTGTGCTCTATCTAAGGATGGTGGCTTCCTTTCCTCAAGCAGAGTGTAGAGTGAGTGTAAAGCCCACTGCGGATTTTGTTTGTTCTTGTTTTTTGAAGCGTGAACCCAAGTACGAACATCAGCAGCAGCGTCTCCAGCAGCCAGGAGCAGAATGGTTTGGGGGAAGGAGCCTAGAACACCACCACTCTCTCAAAGCTGAACAACATTATTCGTTAGGCACAGCATGTCCCCTTGCCAACAAAAGTAATGTTCCTGGGGTAGGAGAGCAGGCTCAGCAGGTGACGTCTCTTGCCTAGGAGACTGACCACCTGAGTTCAATCCTTTGGATCCACACTGTGGAAAGAAAACCAGTTCTGACAAGTTGCCTCTGACCTTCACATACTCACATACTACAGTGGCACTCGAGCACACGCCATACGTGTAAAGGTCTTCATCAAAAAATAAAACCATCTGTCGGGTGTTGGTGGTGAACCCCTTTAATCCCAGCACTCAGGAGGCAGAGGTAGGTGGATCTCTGAGTTTGAGGCCAGCCTGGTGTACAGAGTGAGTTTCAGGTCAGCCAGGATTACACAGAGAAACCCTGTCTTAACACTTCCCTCTACCACCACCACCAAAAAAGAATTAAAACAGTGAGTGGGGCTTGTGATGCAGCCCAGTGGTAAAGGGCTTGCCCAGCCCAGCAAGTGGTAGGTGGGAGGGAGCCTCGGGGACAGGACACACATGACAAAACAAAACAAAACAAACAACCAAAAAAAAGCCACCCTTGTAATCACAGCACTCAGACTACATAGTCAGTTCCAAGTCATCTTGGGCTACAGATGAAGCCCTGTCTCTAAATTAATTAATTAAAATAAAAACTGTAAAGCCCTACAAGAAGAGGAGGAGGAAGAGGAGGAGAAAGAAGAATTAAAAACCCTTTTACCCAGACATGGTGGTTCACATTCAGCCCTCTAGGAGGCTGAGGCAGGGAGACTGTAAAAAGTAACAGGCCAGCCTGGGCTACATTGCAAGACACTATCCCAAAAGCAAGTGTTTTATTTTTATAGCATCGGAGATTGAAGGGTCAGGGTCTACACATGTTGGATGACAGCCCTGCCACTGAATTGAGATTCCCATCCTTACAGCTATTTAGGCTAAACTGTACCAGTATCACTCTGACCAAGCAGCCCATGGGCAGCTAAAGAAAGTTACTAGAATACAACCACTAGTCCTGGGCTTGCCCTGCCACCTTGGACAAAGCATAATTCCTTGAAAGCTATATCCTTCACTGCCAAGAAAGCATTTACTGTCTTGTCTACTTGACTTAAAGGTCAAGCCAAGAAGATAAGCCCTTTGTGACCAAGCCCTGCCAAGAGGCAAGCAGAGCCATTTTTTTCTATTAATGCATTTTAAATATGTTCTTCAAGTCCAGAAGTGGCAAGAACAGGGGCAGCTGCTTCTATGATTTAGGGCCTTCTACTAAAGTTCTCTCCTTTGTTATAACCGCATGCATTTAACTCTCCTAGGCTCTGTCAGGTTCTGGCTCCTGCTTCTAAGCAATGTGTCTGTGTGTTCTTGTACATGTTCAATTAGTGGTAGCTGTGAGCAGGACACCACGAGATAATCAATGGGAATGAGCTGTCACGTAAGAGACAAGCAAGAATAAAGGCACCATGGAATTCCAATAAACACATGGGAGACGGAGGCAAAAAAAAAAAAAAAAAAAAAAAAAAAAAAAAAAAGAGCTGGTGTGGTGGTGTATATCTGTAATTCCAGCAGAGGCAGAGGATCTCAGTAAATTCCAGGCCAGCCTGGTCTACATAGAGAATCTCAGGCCAGCAACAGCTACATAGTGGAGAACAAGGAAAAAATTCCATGATGTGTAAGCAGTAAGGGTATCAGGTGACGGATGGCCCCCACATTGTACAGGTATCAGTCTAGCTGCTTGTGTGGGAAGGCACTGTGTCCATTTTTCTGTCGTTTGGCTGAGGGCCGCTCTCAGATTTCACTCCTTTGTTTTCCACATCTGGGACAGCTGTTTTAGAAGGGAAGTTGGAAGTAGTTTAGTGATATTGTACTTGCCTAGTATGAGTGAGGCTTTGGGCATCTCAAACAAGCAAAAAACAAACAAACAAATAAAAAAGAAAAGAAAAAGAAACAGGATGCAGTAGATTGCTCAGCTATGGAGAGCACTTGTTCTTCCAGAGGATCTGAGTTCAGTGCCCAGGACCCACACACCTAGTGGCTCCCAAATGCCTGTAATCCAGCTCCACAGGACCTGACACCTTCTGGCTTCCTCTGGTATCCTCCCCCCCCTACACACCACACACACACACACACACACACACACACACACACACACCTTCAAAACAAAACCAAGCAAATGCCTAAGTATTTTTTTGCTGGCAGGTGATTCCCAGCATGCCAGGGACTCCCATCTACTCTATAAGCACAGTAAAGGCTACAGGCTCGTCTTTCCTTGCTCAGTCCACTGCCTGCTCAGCTGTTCTTAGTCAATCTCAATTATGTAATAAGTATTTGTTTGCTTTGGGTGGTTTTGTTGTTGCCTTACCTCAGCATCTCACCTTGCAGCCCAGGCTGGCAACCTCCCAAATGCTAGGATTACAGATTTAAGCCACAATGTCTGGGCTGTAATTCGATGTGGGAAACAAATGCATGAATGACGCCAGGAAGGTCCCTTACTGAACAGTTCTACCAGGGTTTATCAACATATACACAGTGCCATGGTCATTCTATTTAAAACAACTATCCTAGGGAATAAGGGGTCCTTGGAGGTAAACTGATCAGTTTTATTTAGCATTGTACACTATAGCATCTACCATGATACCTACTACATGGTAAGCGTGCAACACACACACACGTATATGTATATATATAGAGATGTTGACTGAAAAAAATGCAGATAAATCTGTGTGCTTATTCTGGTTACTTACAATTTAAAAACTGGTATGGTACAAGATCCATCAAAAAAACTGCCAAAATTGGGGCTAGAGAGATATCTCAGCAGTTGAGAGCACTGGCTGCCCTTCTAGAGGACCTGGATTCAATTCCCAGCACCCACATGGCAGCTCAAACTGTAACTCCAGTTCCAGAGAATCTCACACCAATGCAAACAATGGAATTAAATTAAAAAACAAACTACCAAAGCATCTGTGGGATGATGTAGATTTAAGAATTTTTGTGACTTTAGAATGACGCTCAAGATCTATTGAAGAAAAAAAAAAAAAAAAGATGCAGGCAAGTCTCTCAGAGAAGTCCACCACACCCATGCTTTCAGGTGTCCTACTTTTCTGAGTGCTTTACTTTTTCTCTCAACCGCTAAGCTTAAATATACATATATATGCATGCATCCATTCTCAACTCTACTTCATACAAAGAGGAAGATATGGTTCATGGAAAGCATCACCCAATTTTATTTAAAATATACACAGAATATCATGGTACAGAGGCCCATGTACCTGCACATGGGCTCAGTGCCTTAATCTGGGTGAGACAGTTGGCTGTGCAGTGGGCAGCAGACTATCAGAAGAATCCACAGCTGCAGACCCCACCACACAGAGAGAAGGGTAGTTTTGTAGTTTTGTTTGTTGATACAGGCTGGGTTTTGCAGTGTAGCTCTTTGGCTAGCTTGGTGCTCACTCACATTATATGAGGGTAACTTTAAACCTCAGGCAATTTTCCACTGATCCTAATTCACAAGTCAACTCACAATTTTACATCTGTATGCTCATGCTATAAATCACCTTACCTGTCAGAAAAGCCCACCACACCCTTTAAAAATTTCTGGGTTTATTTGTATATTCCAATTTGTGTGAATTTCTTACCAATTTCATTCCCAGAAGGAAATCTTTATCCAATTTTAATATATTTTTAAAACTTGTTTGGTTTTATATTTAAAGTATGAAGGAAGGGGTCAGGAAGAAGGCTAGGGAGGAGTAAGGTGCTTGCTTGAGTTCTACCCATGGGACCCCTATAGTGAAGAGAAACAAATCCCACAGATTGTCTTAACAAACCACATGTGGGCAGTAGCATATCCCTACCACCACTATGTACATCTTTAAAATTGTAAGAAAGAAAAAAGGAAGAGAGGCAGCAGAGAAGCCAGGAGCTGTATGAGCTTGGACAACATGTATGAGCTGAAGGTTTTAAAAACTTAACCAAGAGGGTAGGAAGATCAGTTGGTGGAGAGCTTGCCTAGCATATATGAAATCTTGGGTTCAATCCCCAGTGCAGAATTAAACAGACTATGGTGAAACATGCCTGCAACCTCAGAATTCAGAAGGTCAAAAATTCAAAGTCATCTTCAGCTATACAATACTTGAGGTCAGCCTGGGCTACATGAGACCTTATCTTTAAAAAGTTAATGAAGATTGTAAATGGTTAGAAAAAAACAAGTTCATGTTGATACTTCCACACTGCCCTGGGCAAATCAAACAGAGCTGCTGCTGTCACTGTCTGGTAGGGAAGCAAGTCATACCCAGGATGGTCTTTGAAAGCAAGCTGGTCTTTTTATACCCAAAACAAGCAATAACCAGAAAGAGAACAACCCCCTTTTCAGGGCTAGCAACGTATTCCAGTTGGGACCCCAGCACAACAGGCCCAATGCACACAAGCTTCCAATCCCAGTAACGGCAAGTGGAAAAGATCAGAAATCCAAGGTCATCTTGGGTACACCCTTGATGGTACAAGCTTGGGCCAATGAAGGCTAAGTAAGACTCATTTATCCACTTATTTGATGTGTGTGTGTGTGTGTGTGTGTGTGTGTGTGTGTGTGTGTATCTTGACTATTGTGTTTTACACTGACCAATGGTTCTGGATCAAGCAGCTGAGACTATTTCCCATTACAGAGCCTTCCCTTTTGCACCCACCAAAATAAATAAATAAATAAGTAAATGAATGCATGAATGAATAAATAACAAATAAAAAAGGCAACTTGAAAACAGTTAAAAGGATTTAAAAATTATTTATTTTTATTACAATAAATATCAATAAAAGAATTAAACAATTGAAAACCAAAACCTACTGCTTTACTTTTGGAGTTCACAGCAGCAGACATGAACGTAAATCCAGTTGAAAGGTCAAGGCTTCTAGAATCCGGTGACAAGGAACAGGTCTTGATTATCTGGACTAGCAGCAGGGAACGGTAACACAAATAATGCAAAAATCACATTCAAACGCCTCAGAGTACTCTACTATACATCAAACCACAAGACTTGGAACATTTCAGTAAAGTTAAGCAAGCTGCAGAGCTCTGCTTTGGCAAAAGCAAGTATCTCCCCGAGTCTACAGGCACACTGCTCCCAAGCTGCCTCCTAGCCAAAAAGGCCCCAGCAGACCCAGAAACCTCAGCTCTGATGATAGCAGCTGGCATTCTTGAAACCAGTCTTTCCGGCTCACAAGTTCCCTGGTGAAAAGACATAGAAAATTATATACTTAGGGGGCTTCCTCAAGCCTGAGATGACCAAGGTGTGTGGGGTGCTATTGGGGGGTTTATGGGTCCAGGTGGGTAATTGGCTTCAGATGAGGACCACGGACACACCAAGTCCACACAAAGCAACAGTCTAATGAGGGTTAGTCACCACCTGGTAATTAAGAGTAAACTCCATGTAGATAACGTATTGTTATACACACAGAACAGGTGTACATATTAAATGTATATATGCAGGCAGAATAGGCGTACACATTAAATGTGTATATGCACACAGCACATGGAACCAGATTAAATAAATGCTACATTATTTGCTATTAACACAGCAAGTCCTATGCAGGCCAGATACAATCAAAAATACTTGAAAGGGAGCAATCCTTTTTATCTTTATGTCTGGTATCTTCCTTCTTCACAGCAAATACACCCTGCCCACTCCAATGCTGGTTTTTAGGTGCCTGGCAAGGGATGGAATTGCATTCTTGCTTCAGAAGACTACATAAAGCCTACAGGGAACGGCACCAAATTAAACTCCCCAGCCTCAGTTCCTGCCACACATTCTTAGCATAGAACATGAAACTTACTCAAAAAGAAAGTAGTAACTTACTTTCCGTCACCTGCCATCCATTTAATCCACTGCTGGGTGGGGAAGGAAAGAGTGTACTCCCTTACACAGCGGTCTTTACTGTCTTCCACTTCGCCCAGAAAGGGGAAAAAATTCTTTTTAAACTAGAATTTGGAGTTCAATACTGAATTCTGTTTTCTTGGGACATTAGCCTGTTGATGAGTAACATTAATTCCAATAGATCAGTGACATGGCCAAGTTAATACAGGCCACTTCCATAACCTGCTTAGTTACCTCAAGTATGAAATAAGCAAACTCCAGGTCATGAGTTTTCCTCTCTCGGTATTAAAAAAGTGCTTATCAAACACAATCGAGAATTCATCAGGGATTAGTTTATGAAAAACCCAAATCCAAAGCTTATTTTGATTGGTACCCAAAGAAACTGCTCTTGTAGCCAACATGACAGAAACACACACACACACACACACACACACACACACACACACACACACACACACAGTATTTAGTCACTCCCTGGATAGTCAATGCGATCTTTGATTTCAGTTTCAGAGATGCTGAAGTGGACACTGGCTTCTCTTTCTATTTTTAGACTCTCAATGGCCATGATCCAACTGTCATAAAAACAGCCCAACTGACTTATAGTCCAGCTTTCTAAGAAGGAGTCTCTGGAATAGAAGACACCAGGAACAGCCTAACAGCCCAAAACAACCATTCTGCTCCCCCTAAAGGTGTTTCCTAACCAAACCCTTGACAAATAATCTAAAATCAGCCAGGTGACGGTTTTTAAATCCTGGGAACCCAACCTTCCTCACTGAATCAACAAAACCTTGTTTAGGCTGCCTCTGAGAGAGCTCCCGATGGCAAAACTCCTGCTACCCTACATGTGAGCTCATCATATGTCTATAAAAAGGACATACCCCTGCTTAAAAGCCAGAGACAATAACCAGCTGGTATGCTACCTCTTAAAAAGCAAAGTACACTACTAGGATGCAGGTTGGAGAGTAAGTGACATTTAGTTTGTACTGTAAAAACACTGGAAATAAACAAGGCAGCAAACTCAATCCCCATGGCTCTATTTGAGAAAGAAAGAAACTCATGAGCACTTTCTCTGGAAAAGTTAAGACCACCATGAGTCACCATGTACCCTGAAGCCACTGCCTGTTATGATGTCAGTCACCACTGTCAAAGATTAAAAAACAAAACACAACAACAATAACAAAAACCCAAATGTACAAATCACATGGGTTACATAATCAAAGAAAAGCAGAAATCTATACTAGCTTTAAAAAATTCCCAGAGCCTCACACATTCAAGTTTCATGGTAATTAATTTAATACCATTTTACTGTTAGGAATGTCACTTAAATGTACATCCAAGTGCTTCAATACAGCACACCAGTCAACACTCCTCCTGACAGGCTGGAGTAGGGACAGCTAACTATAATAAGATTACTCACCCACAGGATGTTCGAGATAGCTGCCTTAAAACGACATTTCACAGGGCAAAGAAAATTCTGATCTGACGCCACAGATTTCCTTCCGACAGTGAAGCCCAGGAGTGAGTCAACATAAGGACACTCTGAACACAGGCATCATCACAACTAATACAATTTCTCTGTTTCTGGCTTATTGGGAGACCCAAACTCAAATGTTGTGATCCACAGGTTTTGCCTTCTCTCTGGGGTTGTTCCCAATCCTTTAGCAGTCAGTGAGCTGTTTCTGTATTATGAGGTGGCTATAAGTAGGTTTCAGGCTATAATATAAAAGGAGAAAGTTCACTGGGCGGTGGTAGCGCACACTTTTAGTTCCAGCACTCGGGAGGCAGAGGCAGGCGGATCTTTGTGGGTTTGAGGCCAGCCTGGTCTACAAAGGGAGTTCGCCAGGACTGTTACACAGAGAAACCTTGTCTAGAAAAAGAAAACAAGCAAAAAATTAAAATAAATTAAAAAAATATCTTTTTATTCTTCATAGGACATGGAATTGAAGTCTGCTTCAGGAAGCAAGGTGCCGTCCATATACCTTCTGACTACAACATATTCCCTTAACATTCGCTCCAAGTCACAAGCAACACTCTGGGCAAATACTTAGCATGTGCTAACCCAGATATATACCTCCCTCCTCAGTGCCTCCGGAGAGAACAAATGGCAGTATTAGCAGTGGTACTGTAATATCCTAAACCATGTTCGATGTTTTCTTTTCAAAATTGAAATTAATAGTATGCTAGTCATGATATTGAAATGCCAAGGAAGAATGGTTATATTTTTACTTTGAAGTCACTCTACTCCTCTGAAACCTATGAACTATTACTATTTTTTTAGACAGTGATTGTGGCAATTTCAAACAGTGTGCAGAAATACGATAATCAATATCATTGAGAGAACAGAGGCGGCGGCAGCTATCTAAGTATTGTTATGTTTTTCTGTCTCACATCCTCTCAGACACAGGGAGATTATTTTCTGACAAGCCTGAAAGGGCTTTTTCATACCATAGCCTTCTAACATGAGTCCAGCAGTATAACAATGCAAGCCCCTAACCTGGCTTAGGCACTCTATTCCACAAGTACAGACACAGCATGATGCTACTCCCCAAAAGGCAGCTCTGTGTCACCAGGGAAAAGATATGGGGTAAACTCACCCAAATAGAGTACATAAGTTTTCAGTACCATTTACACTGGGGAGGTATAGAGGAAGGGGCATGACAGAGATGCACAGAGCTCCTGTATTGCTGTGCTGATACGACGAATGGGTCTTTTAAGATGCACCATCAAGACACAGGACACGAGCAACCTAGGAGGGACTCGTGAGTCCACAGGATCCTGAAACACTGGCTGCCTGGGTTTGCTTCTCAATTAGCAGTCTCCTTTTCCACTCTACAGTATCAACAAACTATAATAGAGTTCTTTACCATCACATAGACATGTTAAACACAGAACAAAAGGCACAAAACATTTTTCAAATCCACTTGATGCAACAAAAAGAGAACAAATACACATTTGGCAGGGAAAGATCCCCCAGATTACAGGACATGATGCTTCAGTATACTGTACAAGGTGAAGAAAGCCTGTGATCCAAATTCATTCTTATACATAGTTATGTTATTTTCTTTTATACAAATGAATGTTCTTGTGTACAAGGTCAAGAAAACAGTAAAAATGATTAGCCAAAAAGCCTTATAACCAAGTTCTCTCCTGACTCTTACTCTACAGAGCTGGAGTACACAGGACAATCATCCTTGTGCAAACAGCTTGTTTTCTGACCTCCATGATTTGTTAACGAATACAGAATCACTATCCACTTTCTACATCAATTTCTCATTGATTTTTGCTTTCAATTTTAGTGTCAGAGAAAGTCCCCAAACATACATAGCCTTACAACAATTAAAACTGAGCACAGGGCTGTGGGTTAGCTCCCGGACTCATTTTCAACAGCCTGGATGACAATGATTAGAATTTAAAAACATTCAGGTGGAGTATCAGTTGGTTACTTTTTACAAAGCAGCAGACAGAAACCCAACAAAGGAATGAGCTACAATATTTAAGGATGGTCATATTCATAGGTAAATAACAGTTACAAATTTAATTACATATCAACACAGTGGTGCCTATCTTATCCAAGTGCAACCTGCCCAAAAGTTATAAAAGGGGTTTAAGACACACTCTTCATTTAAGCACAAACCTCATTCAATGAAAAATAAAATCAGCAATTAAATTTCACCACCACCAAACTAAAGGCAAAGTTCAAAGAAAGAAAACATCCACATTCGTAAAAAAAGGGGAGATTTGAGATAATCACAATACAGCAAAAGGGAGTTTTTGTGCTGTCAGTAAACCTTAAAACCTACTGAGACATATTAAGGGAGTACATACTCAGTAAGGCATACATATCAAAAGTTTTCTTTAAATGGGGAGGTGGGAGAGTCAGGGGAGAGAGACTGTCTCTCTGCCTCATCCCTTGTGAAATTAAAAACTATGGCACCTCACCCCAAGAAGGAGAGAGAAAGCAATCGAGCAAAGACAGGTGGACAGGCAGCGCAGGGTGCTAACCGTGATCATCATGACGTTCTGAGGTTCCTAACTCCAGCTTAAACTTCCTCTCACAAGGGACTTCATCTGCATCCTCACAAATAAGAATGAGGCTGCCAAACACAGCTCACAGCACCCACTCCTGACGGGAAGAAACGCCACTATTAAACCATGAACTGTGCCACAATGGCAAGCTGTAATTACAACCCATTCTACACCAAGTAACAACAGAACACTTCTCTCTAACAGAAAATTAAACCATTTATCAGCATTTAGCCACAGCAAGAGCCAGGACACCAGACAATCTCTCGCAATTCACAAGAAAGCAACCAGGGTTTGGCAAGTGCACACTGGTATTTCTGGCCAGAGACTTTTTTTGATGCTTCTCTACATTAGATTTGGGCTGTCAACTATTTCCATAGCTGAAGACGTTTTATAACATACCAAATATTAGGACATGCTGTGGCTATTTGAATGTTATTAGCGTTCCTGAATCAATCTGGGGACTTTAAACACAGAAGTAAAGCATCTTTAACTCTATGAGTCAAAACATTATGGACTCATGAAGCTAGAAACATTTAGCTGGTTTAATGTACACTGTGTTTAACCAAATGTCTCACGGTTTCATAAAAAAATAAAGTTGGGAGTTAGAAAGTCTGAAGTTCCACAAGCTCACTCCTGCTGTCCACATGCCACACTGCGATCGATCCCACATCTGTCAAGCAGACCAGTTTAGTTCGATGGTGATGTATGAGATATTTACAAGCATCTATTTACAGTACTTCCTGAAGATTACAGGCCGATATTCTTCTCTTCCATTCCTAGTCAATCTGAGTTTGGTTTCCTCAATGAAAATGGATAAATCTGAAAATGGCTGCTCAGCTGCTTCACCTACAGAAAACCAGAATACAAGATAGACAATGACAAACACGCACCTGATTCTTCTGCAAACAGACTCAGAATTCACCCTCTGCAGACAGTGCAATATACTGAGAGTAAACTGCCAGAAACAAGAAAGGCTCTGTTAAACCAAATTCTAGTCTCTCCTGGAGCCTTCTAGAACAGACAAATATATCCTTAACCCTATTGAGAAACTACAAGATTATCTGACCTACAACAAACAGCTAGTAAAGAAAATGATTACCTCGATACATTAGTATTTAGCTTCAAAACACTGCTAGGTAATGAATGCTTCCTAACCTGGATAAAATAGAAAACATCAGATCTGTGAATCTGAAAGTCATGTTGGCTAGGGTATTCCCTGCAGGAGATAATTCTTTGATAGCTTCCATTTATAAATAAATCAATATTTTGTGTGGTTTCTAGTTAGAAGTAGTAAAGAGCCAGGCTGTGGTGGTGCATACCTTTGATCCCAGCACTCGGGAGGTAGAGACAGGCAGATGGATCTCTGTGAGTTTGAGGCCAGCCTGGTCTACAGAGCTAGTTCCAGGACAGGCTCCAAAGCTACAGAGAAACCCTGTCTCGAAAAACCAAAGAGCACAAAGACAAATAGGAAGGATGTTCTTTCTGTTAGTGTGTTTTTTTTACAGATTTCTTAAAATTACAACTTATTTTTAAGTTTAATTATTTTTGTCTATGGGTGTTGCTTGAATGTGTGTCTTTTCACCATGTGTGTTCAGTGCCCAAGAAGTCCGGAAGAAGCATGTGGTCCCCTGAGGAACTGGAATTACAGGTGGCTGTGAGTCTTCATGTGGGTTCTGGGAATCGAATCCAGGTCATCTGGTACTCTTAACCCCTGAGCCATCTTTCCTGCTCTCCACTTTCTTTTTAGATTTATTTATTTGTGTGTGGGGGGGGGGGGGGGCACATGTGTGCCATAGCATGCAGTGGAGGTCAGATGACAGCTCTGTGGAGTCAGTTCTCCCCTTCATGTGGGTTCCATGGATCAAATTCACATTGTCAGGCTTGTAGGCCCTCTTGTCCAGATTTTAACAAAGAATCTGTACACTTTCATAATATAAAACGATTGTGAAGGCGGCAGTGTGCCTGATGAAGTGCTTACACAGCATGTGTAAGACACTCGGTTAAATCCTCAGCTACTGGAGTTGGAGAGATGGCACAGTGGTAAGGACTGCAGTTCAGTTCCCAGACCCACACTGGGCAGCTCCTAACTGCTGGTAAACTCCAGACACACAGATCCACAGGACCAGATAGATTCCCTCCTCTGGCCTCCCCAGGCACTGCCCACACATCACAAATCTACACACATGAAGGGATGTGTTCTGGTGGGTATACAGTTTCTAGCCTGGTGTGGAGGCTCACCTTTACTCCCAGCTCTCAGGAGGTAGAGGCAGGTGACAGAGTTATGTGAGTTCCAGGCCGGTCTGTTCCAGACCAACCAGGATCACACTACACAGTGACAACTTGTTTAGAAACTTCAAGACACTGGCAATAGCATTCTATATCACTCTTATGATCAATGAAGAGCAAGACAATGCCCAAGATCATTGGCAAGAAGCATATGATAAACTTTACAAGTAAAGACATAAGCAATTCCCTGACATCACAGTTCATGAGGGTTCTCACAACAATAATCAAGAAGAAAAAATGTTTTGGTCATCAAACCGACTCTCAGCAGGGACCCTTCCAAAACAAAGGCAGGGAGCAGATGCTAGTGCTGCAGTGTGGGTACCAAGTACACCAGCCCACCCCTACAGCAATCATCTCAATGTGACACAAGTCAAAGAAAAGACTTTCAATTTGTTCTGATCAGCAGTGTAAACATTAAATCACTAGGTAATAAAATAAACTGAGTAGAACTAGTTAGACTGATTAACTACTGGTGATCTCTGTGGCGGAATACTATGTAACAACAACTAAAATATTTAAACATAAATAGAAAACTAGTTAGAGTGGGAGGGAGAGAAGGCCACATGGTTCTGGCATCACTGTATCCTTCCATTCATCCTGAAATGACTTGCTTATTTGTTTATGTTTGTAGTTTCTTGAGACAGGATCTTGACATGCAGCCCAAGTCAGCCTCAAGTTACCTTCCTGCTTCTTTGTCCTTAGTGATGATATGACAGCGGTGTTCTGCCACACCTGGAAAAATTCTAACCATTTTCCTTTACATTTTTTCATCATTTGACGATAAAGGTAAAGGCTCATGAGATAAAAACTGAAGTAATGCAAATGACTTCCTCTACTCTAAAACTAATCTGCCTGTGCCGACCAGTTGCTTTGTTTTGTTTTTTAAACTTGACACAGAGTTATCCAGGAAGACGAACCTCATCTGAGAACCTGCCTCCATCAGATTGGCTGGTGGGCAAGCCTGTGGTTCATTTTCTTGATTAATGATGGATGTGGGAGGGTGCAGCCTATAGTGGCTGGTGCCACCCATGGACAGATAGGCAGTCATTGGTGCTGAAGACAGCAGACTGAGCAAGCCACCGAGGGCAAACCAGTAAGCAGTGCTCCTCTAGGCCCTCTCCTTCAGTTCCTGCTCCAGGTTCCTGCCTGTGATGTGAAATTATAGGCTGAAATAAACCCTTTCTTTCCTGAGTTCCTTTGGTTATAGTGTTTATCACAGCAATCGAAACCCTAAGATACTGACTGCCCTTCTCCATTTCTCATGAGATTAGGAATAGACAGGGGTATACTATAAACCAATGTTACTTGTTTTCCCCAAATTAAATTCATAAGCAATAAAAATGTCCTAGGACTAAAGAGGCAAGAAACAGAAACTAATGGGATTATCTGGTTTCACATAATGAAAAGCATAGTGTTTTCTCAATAAGAAAATCACTTATATGATTTAAAATAAGAACTAATTACCCATAATCGCTCACTTAAAATCATTTGTAGGTGCTACAATCATTAGAAAAAAGTATCTGAAATGACTCCCTTACATGTCACCTGAAATTGAGGCATCTGCCCCACATGTCTAGTTGTCACACTAAGCAACTCTCTTGTGCGGTTTCCCGCTGTGCCTTCTAGACTCCTAAGCAGCAGACGGAAGCCATTCTGCCCTGCTCTGGATTACTCACCACTTGTACTCCATAATGGATGTGAGCCAGCGTGAAGGATGCTGTGAGCGCGTAGAGGAGAAGACTCTCCAGGTGGGAGGCTGCTGCGCCTATGTTCACTGCTACCACAACCAAGAAGAGAGGAAGCAGCAACCAGTTCAAAGGCGGGCACCGCGTGCTGCTCATTTGGCAAACAATCAGCTGACACTTGGGAGAAGCAAGAAGAGGGAGGAAAAGAGGGGGTATGAATTAGCAAAGCACTTTCAAAACCAGCCACATTTAAAGCTTTCAAGAATCTATCTGTTATCAATAGTTCTCAGGCGCTCAGGGCCCCAACCGGCTCCTGATCCCACCCTCAAATCTTAGGACCGGATCGGAAGAGGCTAAGACAATGAGGAAAGGGTGTCGTGCTGTTGCTGGTTAATCTCTGCTCTCAGCTCGACTAGATTTAGTCATCTTGGAAACACACCTCTGGACATGTCTGGGGGAGAGTTAGTTTCCAGAGAGGTTTAAATGAGGAAGGAAGACCCACTCTGTGTGTGGGCAGCACAGTTGGTGTGCTGGAGCCCTGGACTGAATAAAAAGAAAGGAATGAGCCGTGCAGACCCCTCTCTGCAGCTGCAGTGTGACCAACACTGTGACCTGACACCATGACTCCCCGCCATGACGAACCACTCCCTTTCTTAAAGCACAAGCCCGAACAAACCCTTCCTCTCATTGCCTGTCAGGTACTCCGCCAAGAGATGAGAAAAGAACTAACATGGATGTTACTGAAGGTGTTTTCTAGCAGGGCAGTGGTGGCACACGCATTTGATCCCAGCACTCAGGAGGCGGAGGCAGGTGGGTCTCTGTGAGTTCGAGTCCAGCCTGGTCCACAGAGCTAGTTTTCCAGGACAGGCTCCAAAGCTACAGAGAAATTCTTGTCTCGAAAAACAAGCCCGACCAAACAAACAAATAACACAAAAACAGAAGGTGTTTTCTCACAGTGTAGTACCAGCTGAGGTAAAAGTAGCTCCCAAGTTTAAAACTTTATTATGTGAATAACCAAACGACCTCCTAAACCTCGACACAACTCAACTTCTTCATGGTAATGAACAGGAAGCAAGACCTCCGACCAGCAATGAACACCTTTCAAAGCTGCTTCAATTCTTTTTTGTTTGTTATTTTGGTTTTGTGAGACATAAGTTTCATGCAGCCCATGCTGTCCTGGAGTTATAGGCATAAGCTACCACATCTGGCTTATATTATTTTTTAAAATATAAGAAGTCTTACTGTGATATTGGCAAAAGCTGTTCCAACCATGAAGTAGAATATTCTAGGGTGTATTTCTAAAATATCTGAAGGAGACCGGAGGATCCACACTGTAGACAGAGTGAAGAGCAAACACGGAGAGAAGAAGGGGACCATAGCTTCATAAACGGAATTGTGCTTCAGGGTGTTGCTTTTATAACTTCTGAAAAATCAATACAGAACATCATTACATACAGGACACACACCTAACACTCGCCATCTCCAGACTCCTCTCATGTTTTCTTACTGTATTTTTACAACCCTATGGCACAGAGAACCAACATCGTGAACCCTGCTTTAAAGCAGGCTAAGGTTAGGCTGAAATGCTCTAAATTTATAATTGCTACCAAGGCCAGGGTTACAGCTGAGGTTCTGACTCCAGATCAAACACTCCCTCCTTCATTTCTTCATTTCTAGACAGGCTCACTATGTAGCCCTGGCTGGCCTGGAACTCACTATACAGATCCACCTGCCTGTCTCCAGGGTGCTGGGGTTAAAGTAATATACTATCATGTCTAGCCCATTTCTTAATTTTAAACCAATGGTCAACAGCTGTGTCAGAAATGCAAAGACAGGGCTGGAGAGAGGGCCTAGATTATTGATTCTCAAACTATGGGTCACAACCCCTGGTGGGGGAGGGCTGTTAAGCAACCCTTTCACAGAGGTCACATATCAAATATTTGCATTACAATTCCCAACAGTAGCAAAATTATAATTACAAAGTAGCTTTGTAATTACAAAAGCTTTATGATTGGAGGTCACCACATAAGGAACTGCATTAAAGCACTGCAGCATTAGGCTTAGAGGTTAAAAATCTCAACCGCTTTTCCAAGGGACCCAGGTTTGGTTCCCAGCACCTACATGGAGGTTCATCTACAAGTCCAGCTCCAGGGAATCAAACCCTCTGGTCTCCCTGGGCAAGAGGAATGCATGTGGTACAAACACATACATGCAAGCAAAATACCCATACACATAAAAACAGTGATAAGATTTATAGCAGATACACTTTACACAAAAGACCCTGAAGAGAAACGGCCAGCACATTTTAGTGTTCCTATATACACTAGGAGTAACCCAGCATGCTGGCTCATCTAAACAGGGTTCCAAATTCTAGTCTTAGTTTGCTTATTGATCACACTACCTTGGACAATGTGTGGCCCAATCAAAGCCTCATCTGTAAGAGGAGGAAGAGGAGGAAATGACTCAAATGATCAGTGCGGCTTGTGAATTTTAAATGCTATTACTTTTTCTTTCTTTCTTTCATTTAAAGACAGGGTCATACCATGTACTGTTTGGCAGACCTGATACTCAATATGAAAACCAGGCTTGCTGGCCTCAGCTTCCAAAGTACTGGGATTATGAGTGTGCCCCATATTTGGCTAAAACTGTATCACTTCTGTAAATGGCCATCATTACAACAGAGGCTATATAGAGCTTGTCATAACATGAGGAAGAAACTATAAGACAGATCTGAGCTCCAAAGTAGGAAGAACAGGATGAAATAACGTAGCAGAGGAAACAGGCAGACCAAAATTACTGAGTCATGAAAGAATAAAATATATCTGGACAAAACAAGGCAAGTCAAGGCAGCCAGCAAAGCTATCGGACTGAAAGCCCACCTCTAAGCTACCTCAGAAACTACTCCCCAAAGGCAGGAAAGTCTACACAACCTCCTATGTGAGAACAACAGCACAGAGTTTGATCCTAAGCCTCACATATTCATGAGTGTTATCTTATAAACCTCATTATAATCCTTCCTAAAAAGAATGTGAACACATCAATATATAACAAGAAAATACCCATTCCTTATGACTCAGTCATAAAAATGACAAACTTGAAAACTGCTGAGCCCAAAACCTGAGAAAATAACTGACCATTTACAGTGTGACTGAGCTGACTACACTATGAGCAGAAATGACCTTAATCATCAAGTTCTCACTCTAGATCTGACATAGAGATTTTTAACCCTTTTCAAAATGTCCAGATTAAAAAGCAAACAGTTAAAAAGCAAACAGCCAGGCTTGGTGACGCACATCTTTATTCCCAGCACTTGGGAGACAGAAGCAGACAGAGCTCTGTGAGTTCCAGGACAGCCAGGGCTACACAGAGAAACCCTGTCTCGAAAAACAAACAAATAAACAAACAATAAACAGTTCCTTAAAATCTAATAATACAACTGTTAAAGGTTGCCTTTTCCCCACAACTTAAAAAAAAATTACTTACCTAAAGAAGTTTAATAAACTCATTGGAAGAGTCACACATAATGCACAGCCTAAAAGAAGAATATTTAAATTATTATGAATTTTTAGGGTGATTATTTTACAGTAATTGCATCCATGAAAAATGTCCAATATTTTAGGGCCAATAGTTTTCAGGTTCAAGTTTATTACTCAGCAAAACTACTCTTCTACACAGCAGCTGTAGGTGAAGAGAGGCGGTTTGGTTTGTGAAGTCAGTACAGTCTCAAGTCACCAGCAGGGACTTCAATTTCCGTTTTGTTGTCAATTGGTCACAAACCACCAAACTCTGAGCAACCCAATCTTTCAGTCAGTGCCTCATTTTCTTTATTTTTGAAGCAGGAAAATAGTAATACCAACTGCAGAGCTTGAAAACTACACGGATCATTACATGAAAGACACCAAAACAGAGCCCAAGCCCAGCAAACTGGAAAATCAATGTAACTCCTACAAAGTGTGTGTGTGTGTGGGGGGGGGGGGTGTCTGTTGTTTCCTGTTTATTTTTAATCTTTCTAGAATCTTCAGTTTCTCTCCTTCCCACCTTATTCATACAATATTTATTTTCTCTTAAACCTAAAAATAATGTATAGTCTTTCTGAGACAGTCCATCCATTCTGGGACCCTATGGCACAGCTTATCCAGTCCGTTCTTTTTTTTTTTTTAAAGATTTATTTATTATGTATACAGCGTTCTGTGTGCATGTACACCTGCAGGCCAGAAGAGGGCACCAGATCTCATTACAGATGGTTGTGAGCCATCATGTGGGTGCTGGGAATTGAACTCAGGACCTCCAGAAGAACAGCCAGTGCTCTTAACCTCTAAGCCAGCTCTCCAGCCCTATCCTGTCCGTTCTTAACATTCATCTGCCCCCAGGAACTATACTCTTGAAATCTAAGCACAGGAAGCATGTAGACAGCCTGTGTTCTATGTAAGTTACCAAAGGAAAAGACTACCTTTATTTCTTCTCTAAGTAGAATTTATTCTACATTTTATAAAGAACACTTAACTGTTGAAGACTTATCTCTTAACCTCAAAACTTCAAGTCTACAATGGAGATGGAACCTGCTTTTCATATTGCCGTAATTTAAGGCCAGACTTTAAAATACAGAAAATGGAATCTCTACAGAAAAAAACAGACAACTCATTTAAAAAAAAAAACAAAAAACAAAAAACAACAACAACAACAACAAAAAAAAAAAAAAAAAAAAAAAAAAAAAACATCACATAGGAACTTAAAAAACACCAAGATGAGGGATTGGAGAGAGATGGCTCAGCTGTGAGGAACACTGTCTACTTTTTCAGAGAACTCGGGTTCAATCCCCAGCCCCTACATGGTGGCTAATAACCACTTGCAACTCCAGTTGCAGGAGAGTCGATATAATCTTCTGGCCTCTGTGGTGCCCAGACATACATGCAAGCAAAACACTCATACACATAGAATTTTAAAAATACAAAGCTAAGCCATCAACATGGGGCTGAAAGATACAACAGTTAAGAGAATTGTTCCCTACTCTTGCAGGGAATCCAGCACCCACATGGTAGATCACAATCATCTATAATCCTAAATTCAGAGGAGCCAACGCCCTCTTCTGGTCTCCATAGCCACAAGCCATGCATAGGATACAAAGACATATATGTAAACAAAACATCCATATGCATAAAATAAAACTAAAAACAAACACAACAAAAAATTCCACCAAGTTAAAAAGAGAAGACAACAAGTGGGAGAACTGTAATTAACCAACCCCAAAGATTAATGTACACAAAACACAAGGGCCTAAAGGAAGTGCTCAACAATTCTATTGCGGAAAATGGGCTAGCGTCTAAAAGCACACAGAAAGACTAATACAAATGGTTATTAGCTTAGCTAAGTTCATGAGAAATGCAAATTGAAACTATACCAATGTATTATTTCTTACCCATAGGTTAACAAATACAGCAATATACTATAATGGTGAAACTAACTACAAATAAACAAGAATTTTCACAACAGCTCATGGGCATGTAAAATGAGCAATGCTGTGGGGCTGAATATGGAAGTATTCAACATAACTGCATGTATTTGTCTTTCACTAACAATTCTACTTCTAGGTATTTCTTCACACTAGCCTGGCAAAAAATATGAAGAAGACACATGCACAAGACTATATTTACTACAATAACATGTGCAACAGTAAAAGCCTGAAGACAATCCAAATGCTAGCTGAAGCACTCTGGTACAATCTATACAATACAGTATCAGCAAGCTGGAAGAGCGGGGAAAAGCCTATACACTGTCAGGGGTATATTAGCAAGTGGGGGGCACACGCTACAAACAAGGTGATAAAATGATGCATGCACTTCTAAACCGTAAATTAAAGCTAAGAATAAGGCTGGAGAGATGGTTTGGTGGATAAAGACACTTGTTGCCAAGCCTGGCAACCAGAGTCCTACCATGGTAAAGGAGAGCTCCCTCTGACCTACACACGCACACAGTGAATAAATAATGAATGAATGACTAAGAATGGCTGAGGGGAAGGGAGAATAGGCAGAATAAAAGTTATACTTCTCCCAAAAAAAGGAAAAAGAAAAAAAGGCTGGGAGTTGGTGGCACACAACTTTAATCTCAGCACTCAAGAGGCAGAGGCAGGTGGTACTCTGTGAGTTCAAGGCCAGCCTGGTCTACAGAGCTAGTCCCAGAACAGGCTCCAAAGCAACAAAGCAATACAGAGAAACCCTGTCTCAAAAAAAACAAAAAAAAAAAAACAAAAAAAAAAAACAAAACAAAAAAAAAAAAAAAAAAACAAAAACTGTACTTCTTTGAGTATACCCCTTTATAGATTTTACTTTGTACTTATGTTTTCTAAAACTATAAAGAATAAATTTCGAAAGAAAATCCAATGCTTGTAAGTTAAAATAAAAAAGAAAATAATAATATAATAATTATTATTTTTATTATTTTGGCTTTTCTAGACAGGGTTTCTCTGTGTAGCTTTGTAGACCAGGCTGGTCTTGAACTCAGAGATTCTCCTGTCTCTGCCTCCCAAGTGCTGGGACTAAAGGCATGTGCCACCACCGCCTGGCTATAAAATTTAAATGTATATATCAAAAAATGGTGTCACAACACAAAGTGGCATCTTTACTATCAGATTCCATTTGGAATCAATATTTTGAATTCCTGTGGTATTTTTATCACAAACTGACTTTAGTTCCCCTACCTGGCTGCTGAATGAATGGCTGGCTAAACAAAGATCCTCAATGTCTATGAGTACTTTTAGGTGAAGAGCATGGACTAAATCGGAACTGACATACAATACCTAAACCCTCTCATCACTATTTAAAACAGAGGCAACTAAACATTGTGTGATCCCTAGCATGTGCTCACATTAACTTTTGAGTTAGCCAAGGCAGGTATCTGTAGTGTGCAGGCAGCACTAGTGGTTTTGAGAGCAGTAAAAGGCAAAGAATCTAGGCTATTTTTTTAGGGGTCCTAGAAAAAAAATACTAAAGATCTAAGAATAAAATGCAGGTCATGGATCTATTGCTCTATCTAAACACAACCCTACCTATTCCTGCTGGTAAACCCTGGTAAAGGCTAGAAACTAGATAAGGCTCAGAAACTGCTGACTGCTGTATAGGCGCAGACCTTCCTGTAGTCTGGGCCACATTCAGGAACCACTCTATTTTACCAGCAGATGTTTATCTGTATAAAGTGGTTCTGTTTGAGTTATTTTAAGCCTTGAAAAAGTTACTTTTCTTCTCATACCATTTAGCGAATCTCTCAATCAAGCAGCTTGTCCCATGGAGGTTTACTATTTAAATGTAAAATTTAAAGAATATAGAAACATGTACTATGTGAGGTATCTTTAAACACTAACCATGTGCTGTCATGGACATTTAAGCCAGACATGGTGACACACATCTCTAATCCTAGCACTTGGGAGGTAGAGGCAAGAGGATGAAGAATTCAAGGGCCGCTTTGGTTATATAAAATCCTGCCTCAAAGAAACAGAAATGGGGGGATGGGGCTGAAGGGATGGGCGGAAAAGAGCACCTGTGAAAGGGGGGTGGTATAGGCAGGAGGGGGTGTGATGGCTTCTGTTTACTGTGAAGGTTACCGTCTTAGGGAGCAACCACAACCAAAAGCTCCAGTGACACAGGAGGCAAGGTGTCCAAGAGGAAGAGAGAGTTAGTTTTGTCAGCAGAGTATAAATCTCTATATTTCATCTACTCTTTCAAATTAACAATTTTCAACTTGAAACAGGTATGAAGTATCCACTAAATGTAGTCCTCCAACGCTAGACTAAACCGGGTAACAACTTTACAAAGCGTATGTGCTGATCTACTTTGGCATTTCTGTCCAATTAGGAAAAGCTTGGTGCTCAACAACAACAACAAAAACCTTGTTTCTTTAACATTCTGGTAGAAATCCTGTAGGGCTGTAGGGCTCTGCTTGATGGAGAACAAGGAAAGAGTGTTATCACTTGCTATGGTCAAACACTGGCTTTTGATAACAAAGTGAGGGTTAAAACAGGCTTCGACATGGAGCTCCTTACCAATAATCATTGCAGTGAATAGGTCTCTATATAAGAAATTAAACAGGAAAGGTTCATACCAGGCCTCAACTCCCACCACTGCAGTCACTATGTAGACAAAAGAAATAGTCTGGAAGGAAAACACAGACAGAACAAAGAGGCATCAACAGCTGAACAATCCAGGAAGCCAACAGTGCTTTGTGCATCATTAAGTCTAATCAGAGTGATTACCACAAACGTGCTTAAACTTGCTATATGGCAAATCTCCTTGCCATATAGAGACTCCCCCCTCCAACACTGCCATCTAATAGCTGCCATGTAGGCAATGCAGGCAAGTGGTCACCATTTGGAGCCCTTCAAAGGCAGTTAAGTCATAGGATGATGACTCAATGTGCCCACCTAATCTAATCAACCTCCATCGGCAGACACACCCCAGCTTCCCGTATCTCTGTTGGCAACTTATGGCAAATGGAGAAATGGCAGCACAAGAAGCTGAGACTCTAAGGCGGAGCTAACACAGGTCTATCCACGAGACAAAGCTCTCTACTCACTGAAGTCGGCAAGGAAGGCAAAAGGCCAAAACTTCAGTCATATGTGCACCACTTTCTCCAAAAGTAAAATAGGTCAACATGCCAAATTAAATCATATTTGATAACATTAAGATGTTATAACATTTTAATACAACAGTGGCACTCTAATATTTTTAAAGCTTTTTATCATTTAGAGATACATTACAAAATACTTAACCACATTTCCTATAAAAGAATGAGGAAAACACAGACAGCACACAAGAAACTAGAGGCCATGTGCTGATAACTGCTAAAGCTAAGTACTAAGCACGTTAAAGGTTCACTGTCATGTTTTACTTTTGTATGTTTGAAATCAATGATGTGCTGGGTGATAGTGGCACACACCTTTAATCCCGACACTCGGGAGGCAGAGGCAGGCGGATCTCTGTGAGATGGAGGTCAACCTGGTCTACAGAGTGAGTTCCAGAACAGCCAGGGCTACAGAGAAACCCTGTCTGGACTACCTCCCCACTACCAAAAAAAGAAACCAATGATGCTGGGAAGGATAGAATCTATGGACTTTTACATGCTAGGCAAGCATTCTAGCGCTTTTTTACATCTCCACCCTCAGCTGTCTTCTCAGGAAAAGAAAACGCTAAAGCATCAATTGCTTTTTTGAAATTTTTATTTATTTTTTTTAATCTTATGTGTGATTTGCCTACATGTGTACCACAACTGCCTGGTGCCCAGAGATCAAAAGAGGGCATCAGGTCCCCCAGAACTAGAGTTACAGACGATTGTAAACTGCAATATGGGTGCTGGGAATTGAACCTGGAGCCTCAGAAAGGAGAGACACCTCTCCAGTCCCACACATCAGTTCTAACTTGCCAATGCCTAACAGCAGTAAAGAAGGGTAGTAAAAACTTTAAAACATGCAGACCATCTAGGGCATAATGTATACTTACCACCTGGCTAATGTCATAGCCCCAGGGCAGGAAAAGAATGCCTGTGTTATACTTTTCCCAGTGAGACAGGATGAAAGAAAACAAAACTACCCAAAGCAGGAGATAAAGAACAAAAACACTGACACCGGTCGGTCCTCGTCCAAAGATGGAGTACACAGTCACAACAAAGTAAACACATGACCAACTATCCAGGCCATGGTCAAACAGCTCCCCTAAAGGGGTGCTGGAATTGGTTCTACGTGCTTGTTTTCCATCTACTCCATCTGCAACAAAACACATAGTACAAAAGAAGGTCAACATCTGGCCAGCATGGAGAAAGTCGACTTCAGGAAACTAGTAGAATGAAGCAAAACAAGTCTCAAGTGCCTCTCCCAGGCAGTACTCTTGAGCCTAATCTTTAATTACTGCAATTCAAACATTTCAGAAATAAAATAAACATGTAATTTCTTAAAGATTTATTATGTAATCATTCATTCATTCATTTAGTGTGTGTATGTGTCTGTGTGTGCTTGTGTGTGTTTGTGCAAACAGTCAAGCCACGGATGTGCAAACGGTGATGAAGGCCAGGAGGGCATTGAATCCCCAGGAGCGGGGATTACAGGCAGCTGTGAGCCACCTGCCATGGGTGCAGGGACCAGGACGCCAGTTTTCCAGAAGATCAACAGGACTCTTAACCACTGAGCCATCTCTCCTCCAGCCCTACTATTGCTTAAGGCGGAATCTAAAAGCTCACATCATATTACACTGAATGGTGCCATTTTAGATCTAAGAAGAAAGCATTCTAGCTGGACTCCAAACTCCTCCAAACGAGGCATATATTCTCAAGTTCCCACAGCATTCTCACAGTTGCTCATCGTAATTATCTAGCTCAAAACTTGTTGCTTCAGGAGCCCAAAGAACTTTAGTCATCATACTCATTTCCTCCTCTGTGACCAGGGCCTCTCTTCACGGCTCTGCTTTCCCTCCCTCCAAGTGCTTTCAGAGTACGAATGCAGTAAGGTGGTCAGCAAATATTATGACTGGGTCTGCTGAACTTGTACAAAGCACTCACTATTCTTGGTGCTATAAAAATGACAACAAGGGGTAGGAGAGACAGCTTAGCAGTTAGAAGCACCGGTTGCTCCTCCAGAGGACTTGGGTTTGAATCCCAACACCCATGTGATGACTCGCAACCATCTGTAATTCTAATTCCAGGGGATCTGACAGCCTCTTCTGGCCTCTGCAGGCACCAAGTACACACATGGTACACAGACATATACACAGGCAAAATACCCCAAATATGTACAAATTAAAATAAATAAATAAAAGTGTAAAAACCTTACAATTGAGTTTTCCCTTGGAGTGTTTACAACTGAGAAAGGGACAGAAGACAGTCACTAAAGAGCACCAGAAAAGAGGCTAAAAAAGAGCAAGGTTCCCTTCAGATAATCTAGATTGGCCTTTAGAGCACAGTGAAATGTGAGCAGGGACATAAAGACTGAGTTGGATCTCAGCAGGTAAGAGATACAGGAGTATGCCATTTCAAGAAGAGAAGTGCTACCAGCAACGTACGTTGATGGAAACCGCAATGCACATGCAGAAGCCTGAGATGGCAAAAAGCACAACTCATGCTCAGAAAATGCAAGCAGCATCATTTGATGTAAGTGAAGGCTAAGAGAAGGGATGGAGAAATGGTTTAGCATTTGCTGCTCTTGCAGAGGACCCAGATTCAGTGTCTAGCATCCAGCTCATGACCATCCCTAACTCTGTTCTAGAAGCTTTCATCTGGCCTCCTCATATACTTGATATGCACATGGTGCACATATATACATGCAGGTAAAACACTCATACATTGAAAAAGAAAAAAAGTAAATCTCATACTTGTTTCTTTATTAAAAGAACAAACAAAATCAGCCGGGTGGTGGCGGCGCACACCTTTAGTCCTAGCACTTGGGAGGCAGAGGCAGGAGGATCTCTGCGAGTTCTAAACAGCCTGGTCTGTAAGAACTAGTTCCAGGACAGCTTCCAAAGCTACACAGAGAAATCTTGCCTTGAAAAACCAAAAACAAAGAAAGCAAAACAAAAATGTCTAATAAGAGATTTGAGCTGCTTCAAATATTTTTGGGACTAGAGGGAGCTATTAAAAGATGTATGAAAGAATAATAGAAACCATGAGACAAGAGAAGAAATCATGTTTGCTGAAACGGTGCGACTGACATGCTGAAAACAGAGTCCCTAGCGAGTTACCTAGACAGAGATGGAGTATAGCCGGAATGAAAAGCTGGTGAAACAATAACAGAGAGACGGAAACTGGGCGCAGGAGTGCAGACTTCCACTCAGGTGACACAGGAAGGAGCATCTCAAGGTGAGCCACAAGTGAAACCCAAAGAAAACCAAACAAGTAAAAGTGAGAGAATACATAAAGATGAGGTGCAAGATCCAAGAAAACAACTGCACAAGTTTCCAGCCTGGGTACCAGGAGAGCAGCAGTAACCCTACAAAGAGGGAAGTAGGAGACCAACCAGGGCAGGAGTGTGAAGTACACAGGGTTGGGATTCTTTTCTGCTTCTATGTATCTGAAATATCTAAAACAAAAACAAACAAACAAATAAAACCCTTTTTCTTATTAACTGGCTTAACAATTTTCTAATTTCTGTATAAATCATATGGTTAAACTATCAGATCCACAAATACATATTAAGTAGATTTTGTGCATTTTTTCAGCTTCACTCCAGCTCCCTATGTTGGGTCTGAGTATGTTTCAGAATGTAATTTCTTCCTCATAATGGTGAAGACTTAGGGGAGATTTCATTATTGTGAAAGACATGTTTGACTCTAACAAAACTACTACAGTGCCAAATAATTTTTGTAACACTCCTACAGTCACACTTAACAGATTATAAACTGCCTCATGTTAATTCATAACTAGTTATGCAGCAAGTTGCTTATGTCAAGTCAGGGTCTTCACAGAAACTGTGGCCCTAAATTAACTGGAACACGGAGCCTTATAAGGCTCGGATGAATGTTGTGCGCAGCAAGACCTCACAGGTCACCTCACCTTTCCCTAGTCCTCAAGGCAGCCCTTGGCAACAAACTCCACTAGCAGCAGTTTAAAACCTGCCCCCCTCCTCTAACAAGTGTATAAAGCCTCTATCCAAATATGTAACCTTTAGCCAAGCTCCTGGCTCTTAGAGACCTCACTGGTTTCTTTACTCTTACAGCTCTTGCCATCCACTATGCCAGCATGAATATGCCACATTACACTGGGTCTGTGAGAACAAACTATTTTTTATCTGAAAAGACTTAAATAACTTGAACTTCAGGTCTGCTATTTTTCATGTATTTGAAAACCAAATACTGAACTGCTACTGTGTGCCAGGCCATGTTCTAGAAACTTAGGATGCAATAGTAAACAAGAATACTCAGTCTAATATCTATGTCAGGATTTCTTGTGAAACTTAAAGCAAAAATAATGTCTTACTCTAAGAGCTGGCAAACCTTGTGGCAAAGGTCAAATAATGAATAGCTTAGGCTTTGTGAGGCACACCCTTTGTGAGACTTGGTTGTGGCTTCTCAATGGATCTTTATTGCAGGAAGGCAGCCAGAGACATCACATAAAGAAAAGCACACATTCTGTCCAGCAAAGCTGTGCCAAGGGAGTCCATTTCTTCAGAGGTGTGGTCCTTGGTAGACTGCCCATGCCAAAGGACGGCTTTAACTACACCCACACACACATGGAAGCTCTAACTGGACTCAGTGGGTTAAAAAAGAAAAGAGGACATAAAGTTGGAAGAGATGTGGAAGGGGCGCCAAAAAAAGTTGAAGAAAGCGGGGTTGATACACTCTAAATATATAATATATATGGAGGAAATTACTAAAGAACTCTTAAAAATTCTTCAACAACAAAAATCAACAAAAACCTTCCTTCCAAAAATAGACAGTTCTCCAGGCTTGACTTGCAAGCAGTCACCTGCCAATTCCTACTTTTATTCTGGATCCCTAGCAGTAAATAACATCACTTCTCATAGATTCAAAAATATAAATGATCAATTTGAACAAGACACTAACAGATTCTAGTGATAATGAGTTAAGCATAGAAGAAAATGTTAATGAGTGCTTAGTCTTGCTGGTGTACCCACCAGCCACCACGGTCAGTCTCTTACCTAGAGTGTAGGCCACAAAGTTGAGGATGCCCACGACGATCCACACCCAGTCAGGCACATGCTTATGACCTGGTGCTGTAAAGGAGAGCAACCAAGATTTTAACAGTCTAACTATAATAGCTCTCACCACCCTACCTGCTGCCAGTGAGAAATGTTGCTGCTTCTTAATGAGAAGTTACTTTACAATGTATTCTGAATGCAGAACTAAAATATTAAAAGTTAGCAGGTCCCCACTTACAGTTTTAATAAGCTATGTTCAAGACCAATGTCAAAAATATTTTAGAAGCCAGGTAGGTACATTTTATCCCAGTCCAGAGGCAGGTGGATCTCTGAGTTCAAGGCCAGCTTTGTCCACAGAGAATAAAGTGTTCCAGGACAGGCAGAGTTTTTGACACAGGGTTTCTCTGTTGTTTTGGAGGCTGTCCTGGACCAGGCTGGACTTGACACAGAGATCTGCCTGCCTTTGCCTCCCAAGTGCTGGGATCAAAGGTGTGCACCACCACTGCACAGCACAATCCCAAGATCTTATATAACATTCTAATACCCAAAACTTTCAGAAACATAAGCATCTTAGATTTAGAAATTAACTAACCACACCTTATTCTTTGCTACTCAAGAGATTTAAAATTATGTATTAAGATAATAAAATTCTTACCTGAGGCATAAAAGTCAGGATCGAAGTATGTCAGAAGTAGGAAATTGAATACAACCAGCAGAAATCCAGAAAAGGTTATAAGATTGGGAGCCAGCCAAGTAGGAAATACCTGTGGTTTTGTTTTTTTTTTTGTTTTTTTTTTTTTTTCAAAATAGTTAAGTAAAGAAATAGTTAAGTAAAGAAAGCTCTGTTCAATAAACATCACAACATACAAATTAGGTCATAAAAGCTACCAGTTTGAAAGAGCATATGTAGGTATTCTGTATATTAAAATACAAACAGTAACTCCAGCTGATAAGTGAGCATTTCTTTCTTCTTCCTGTCCCTTAGATTCTTTAATACACAAACTTTTATAATGATAGCATACAGTTCATTTTAGGAGGTTTCAAAGGCCTTTTATAAAAATGATCAATCACAGTAGTATATATATTTATATTCCAACAGGGAGTGACCCCAAAAGGGAGGGTTAACTGGGAAGGGGAGAGGGGGCACCTCTGTAACATCTTACTAAGAACACTGTTCGCTGGGCCTGCAAGCACAGCCTGTAATCTCAGCTACTCTGGACAGTGAGGCAGGAGGATTCCAAGTTCAAAGCAACTCAATGAGTCCCTATTTTAAAAGTACAAAGTGCTGGAGAGTGGCTCAGTGGTTAAGAGCACTTGTTCTTCCAGAGGACCTGAGTTCAATTCCCAGCACCCCTGTGGTAGCTCACAACCATCTCTAACTCCAGTTCCAGGGCATCTGATGCCCTCTTCTTACCTCCAATTACACTAGGCATGTACATGGTACAGACATACATGTAGGCAAAGCACTCATACACATAAAATAATAACTCTAAAAACAAATTTTTCAAGAAGCAAAAAGCTGAGGATACAGTTCTGTGTGGACCACTGTGACAGCATGTATGAGGCCTTAGGGTCAATAACTAGAACTGCAAAGAAAAAACTGAGAGTGGCAGCAATAAGACTCTAAAATTAGTTAAAATACTCAAAATTTGTTTAAACAAAAGTGTACGCCATTAATAATCTTACCTTCACTATAGTGTTCCAAAATGGATGCATGATATACAGAGAGAGCGGATTGGTATCCAAAGCACTGTACTGTTAAGAAATGAAACATTTCAGAGTTAACCCTTAATTACTAAAAACTATAATAACAACAGTGCAAACTATGAAGAACACATCTGTTTGTATTCTATCCCCCTCTGGATAACAAAACTAGAGTAGCAATATAAACAGGGCAAAACTGTCAAGCAGTCAGGTATTACTTTATGGCAACAGGGAAGGGTCACAGAGGAAGTAAACAGATCAGTCTAAAGCATGGCACTAACCCTAATGTGGTTGCTTCATTCACAAACACCAAGTCCAAATGGCCAGGGTCATCACTAACTCATCCGTCCCCTCTCAATCAACTTTATAATGTTGTGGTGGTTCAATAAAGACATTTACACTATGGACCAGGGATAGAGCTGAGTGGCAGAGCACTGGTACTGAGGGAACACTTTTACAAGAAAGAATATGTGTACACACTTTAAGCTGTTATAGTTATTACACAGGTTGGGAAATATGTATGCTGTGCACATTAAACACACCAGGCACGTTCCCAATCCCCTTCAACCATCTTCACCTACAGGTGTCTAGTTGTTCCCTCTCATACACACAACTGAATGACCTTTCTGTCTTATTCACCTGTGAACTGAATGTGTGATAGCCCTTCTCTTAGAGGGCTATCACAAGGATTTGGTAAGTTAATAATACATTCAAGACACCTAGAATAGGACACAGTAAGTGCAATGTAAGAATTAGCTATTACTACAGGAACTGAGCACCAAAGGAATGACAACCCCCCCCAGTAAAAAAGCAGACTGTATAAATGAAGGAGCAAACACAGAAGTAAAGGTTGTGTGGTAATTGAGTTATATTATACCCCAATTAACAACTGAAATATTTAGTAAGAATGGGGGAGTGGGGAGACTTGCAAAGAAATTTTAGCAGATAAATATATGTAAATATGTACAAATTATACTAATAACTCCTTCCTCCCTTCCCTTTCTCCCTCTCCCCCACCCCAAAAAAAAAAAAATATGTCCTCCACTAGGTAGAGGGAAGAAGAGATATAAAACCAGAAGAGCCAGACAGAGAGATGCAAGCTTTAATCCCATTACTGATACTGAAGCAGGATGAGTCCCAGGTCAGCCTGGGCTGCACAGTGAGACCATGTCTCAAAAGAACCCCAAACACCAACAAGATGGCTCAGCAGGAAAGGGCATTGCAGTTCATCCCCAGAACCACAGGGCTGAAGTGGAGAACCAGCTCCTAGAAACTGGCCCCCACCTCCACACATACACACGTGCCACATCAAGCACACACACACACATAGACACATACATACTGTCCTCAAACTCATGGAGATTTGCCTGCCTCTGACTCCCGAGTGCTGGGATGAAAGGAATATGCCACCACCACCTGGTCAGCCAGTATTTTCAATGCCTCAAGTACTAAATATGAACAAAACAGAAACTGAAAATGAATAAATATGGTTAGCACAGTAACTCTAATATCTACTCACCATGTTCTGTGTGTGACATTCTCCCACTGCTCTAGCCTATTACAACCAAAATGGAATGAAAGACCTGACACAGGCAGTAAGAAGAAAAGATGACAGAGATTGCTTGCTCTGGCCAGAGTCACATGCCCAGGGCCTTCTCCAGACTCTCACAGGCCTCCTGAAGTAGCCTTACTGTGACTTTTAGCAAACTATGCTATGAGGCTTTCACCACATGGGATGCTCCACAGAAAGAACACACCTGCTGACAGCTCACCTGAAGCCTCCAGACCTGGACATGTGGAACGTTACAGCACAGATGACTCATTCAGTAGGAGTGTCCTGGCCTCCACCTAACAAACTGTACCCAGACCATGTGATGGAGCCAGGAGGCCAGAAAAACTGGAAAAGCACCCATTTCAGGCCCATCTGCTGGAAGAGGTTCAAGTGAGAAGGACACAACTTAAGGCACAATGAATATCTACTGGGCACAACATCCAAAACTCCACTTACTCAAAGAGCCTCGTTCATTAACTCTTCATAATTTTGAATTAGATCCAAAAGAAAGGTTTTTGGTTTTGTTTTGAGACAGGGTTTCTCTGTGTAGCCCTGGATGTCCTGGAACTAGCTCTGCAGACCACACTGGCCTCAAAACTGCCTCTGCCTTCTGAGTGCTAGGATTAAGGCATGGGCCACCACTGCTGGTCCAAAAGAAAAAATCTTTAAGTGAATGACATTTTAGTGTGAAAAAAACTCTTTTTATAGACTGACACTTTAAACCTCCACTCCAGAATAGGTTAATAATAATATAAAATAAACACAAAAGGGGCATTTTACCCTCTAGGATTCTAATTTGACATTCAATAGTAGTGAGTGAGATGAAGTATACTATAGCAAGATCAGCAAACGCCCTAAACACTCGGTGCTTCCCACCTACACCCATGCTGCTGGTTCTTCTTTCTTTCTTTTTTTATTTTCTTTTTATTGTTATTTTTTCTTATTTTACATACCAATACCAGTTCCTCTCCCTCCTTCACACTCCTGTCCCATTCCCCACCCACTCCAGAGGGCCGGTGATGCCTTCCTGGAAGGATCATCAAAATCTGTCAAGTCATTTGGAGTAGGGCCTAGGCCCTCCATCCCGCCTCTAGGTTAAGGGAATTTCCCTCCATGGGGAATGTGCTCCCAAAGTCCTTTCCTGCACCAGGGATACATCCTGGTTCCACTGAGATTCCTTAGGCCTTCTGAGACCCACATTCAGGGGTCTGAGTCGGTCCAATGCTGGTTTCACAGCTATCAGTCTGGGGGCCCATGAGTTCCCACTTGTTCAGGTCAGCTAACTCTGGGTTTCTGTAGCCTGGTCTTGACCCTTTTTCTTATCACTCCTCCCTCTCTGCAACTGGATTCCTGGAGTTCGGCTCAGTGTTTAGCTGTGGGTGTCTGCTTCTGTTTAAAACAGCTACTACATGAATGCTCTAGAATGGCATATAAGTTAGTTTTCAATCTCATTATCAGGGAAGGGCATTTAAGGTAGCCTCTCCACTGTTGCTCAATTGTTAGTTGAGGTCATCCTCTGAACATTTCTCTCTGTTTTCTCTTCAAACCTATAATGGCTCCCTCTTTTACAGTATCTCTTTTTTTGCTCTGGTCTATTCGTCCCCACTCAATCTTCCTGGTCCCACATGTTCTCCTCTTCTCTTTCTCCTAACTCCCTCTCCACACACTGCCTCTCCGCCCCCCTCCAGTATACTCAGGAGATCTTGTCCCTTTCCCTGTCTGTGAGGGACCTTGTATGAATCTCTTAGGTTCCTCCTTGTATCCTAGTTTCTCTAGAAGTGTGAATTGTAGGCTGGTGATCCTTTGCTCCACGTCTAAAATCCATATATGAGTGAGTACATACCATGTTCCTCTTTTTGTGACTGGGTTACCTCACTCAGGATGGTTTCTTCAAGTTCCATCCATTTGCCTTCGAATTTCAAGATTCCATTGTTTTTTTCTGCTGAGTAGTATTTCATTGTGTAAATATACCACATCTTTACTCATTCTTCAGTTGAGGGGCACTTAGGTCTCATAAAACCGCCAAGTAAGGCAGAACTTCTAGGCCACACCCTTGGAATGGCTATTGCATTACATCTCATCATTTTTATTTGAATACAGAACCCTGTAATGTCATCTAAAGCAATTATGTCTACAGTAAGAGACTTTCATAGTCTAGGTGAAATCCACCTAGAGGAGGCACTACAGGGACAAGAGCTAAACCTGGAAATGCTGCCACACAGCAAGAAACACTCAGATCCACCACCAGCTGAGGCAGAGGGATTCCCTTGCATTTTTAGAGATGATGTGGCCCTGCAAGGTTTTCCAGCCTCTAGAACTGAGAAAATAAGTTTATGTTGTTTATGGCCACCTACTGCATATCAATTCCTATGGCATCTCTAGGAAACCAATGAAGTCTGACCTACCCCCATTATGTAGTCAGAGTGCTCAGACCAACGGCATCCTAAAAGGTGAGAAGGTAGTCAGTCAGTCAACGTACACAACACCATATCAAGTCAAAGAAGCCAGACCTGAAAGAGAACATGTTTCTACCATGTCCATGACATGTATGAAGCTCAAAAGAAAAGCCATGGACTGGTTAACAGCAAGTACTGCTCTTGTAGAGGATAAGAGTTTGGGTCCCAAACCCACTTCAGGTACAGGAGCTTCAGTGTGTGTATGCATGCATGCATGCATGTATGCATGCATGCATGCATGTACATCACATAGTACAGGTGCTTCAGTGTGTGTATGCATGTATGTATGTATGTATGCATGCATATACATCACATGGTGCAGGTGCTTTGGTGTACGTATGTACACATAGTACAGCTGCTTCTGTGTGTGTATGCATGTATTATGTATGTGTGCATGTATACCACATGGAACAGGTACTTCAGTGTATGTATCTATGCATGCATGCATATATGTGTGCATGTACACCACATGGTGCAGGTGCTTCGGTGTATTATGTATGTACACCACATGGTGCGGTACCAGCAGAGGCAGAAGAGGACACTGGATCCCTTGGAATTGGAGTTACATGTGGTCATGAGCCAATCAAGTTGGTGCTGGGAACTGAACCTGGGTCCAACCCCCTCCACAGCAATGTTTTAACATCAGAATGGGAAGCTGCCCTTACTGGTCCCTATTAACAGTACCATATTGTGTTATGTTTTGTGTCCAAAGGACAATCTTACCAGTCACCTCATTTAACATGACAAAGCATATATGACAGTGTTAATTGCCATTTGACAGATGTTAACTAGGGAGGGAAAAGCCATCTTGTCCGAGGGCCATTCCCTGGGCAGGGAACTCCAGACTGTAGAATGGAGAGCGCCAGCTGAGCAGCTGTGCTGCCATCCCTCTTCTGCAGCCTCTTCCAACCCCTGCTGCCTTGGCTTCCCTGCCATCAACTGTGAGGTAAAATAAAGCATGTCCTTTAAGTTGCATTTGTCAAGAGTATTTTATCCTAGCAACAGGAAAGGAAATTAAGGTGAGGACTATCTGTCCCCATCTT